GGTTTTCTCACCCCCCCTGAGTTTGTGTGTGTACGGGGGTGGGGGGTGAGAAAACCTGGATTTGTGCTGGAAATGGCCCACCTTGATTTTCATACACATTGTGAGGAGAGTGGTCACTTTGGATGGGCTATTACCAGCAGGAGAGTGCGTTTGGGGGGGCGGGGGGGGGGCGGAGGGTGAGAAAACCTGGATTTGTGCTGGAAATGGCCCAACTTGATGATCATTTTAGATAAGGTATTACCAGCAGGAGAGTGGGGTGGGAGGAGGTATTGTTTCATGGTCTCTGTGTATATAATGTCTTCTGCAGTTTTCATGGTATGCATCCGATGAAGTGAGCTGTAGCTCACAAAAGCTCATGCTCAAATAAATTGGTTAGTCTCTAAGGTGTCACAAGTACTCCTGTTCTTTTTGCGAATACAGACTAACATGGCTGCTACTCTGAAACCTGCCATGTATTTAACCTGCCAAGGTATTTAACAGGGAGGGTGATTGATCACTGGAACAAACTGTGACACTAGCAGACCAGGTGCCAGCTCAGACCAGGGTCCCCATGCCTCAACTGAACACTGACACACACAGCTGGAGCCAGTCTGGCTCACCTGGGTGTTAGTAATGTTAAAACAGGAAGTACAGGAACGTGTTGAGTGTTTAGTCTATCGAATGCTGGGGCGCGGCTGCCTGCATTAATCTCACATATAGCATCTGTATCCCATAGTATAAGGTAATGCTTGAGCATTGTAAGCCGTTGTAACTGTAACTCTCCAGGCAGGAGGGGACATGAACCAGTGTGAAATGCTGGTCTCCAACAGATGTTATGTCCTGCCCGACAGGGAAGGTCCAGCAACACCAGATGGACTAAAGTGGAACGTTAGAGAGGACTCGAGACTTTGCTGTTTACTCTCCTCCTCCCCTCCCCCATGAAGATGAGTCTTGCAAGCACAGCTTAAATTCAGCCGGAGCCCACCGCAGCAGGACCTCTGGTAAATATTTTCAAACTCCCAGGAGCCCTGGCACCTCCCACAGGGTTTCAGCCTGCAGGAGGCCCCAGGGCTTGTGGTCTCAGCCCTGCAGCGCATGCTGGGGCTCAGGGCTTGAGCCCCAATGTGCACCATGGGGGCTGAAGCCCCGGCTAAAGCCCTGATCCCCAAATGGGGAGATGGGGCTCCAGTAAATAATTGTTGAACTTAAGCCCTGCTTGCAAGTGAATTCCTCCCATCAACTGAGCTTGCAGTTCAAAGCAGAAGTAGAAAAGGGAATACTGTCAAGGAGGAACAGTATCTTTATGCTGCTTGGACTGTGAGAACAAGATTTCTAGGCATAAGCAAAAAATCCCTAGTGCTTTGCTTGGATTAGCCCTAAAGGACATCTACAGCTTGCTTATTGTAGAAGCTTCTGTTATTTTTGAAGCTTAAGATTTGTGTGTGTTTGCCTGCTTTAACCTTGTAAATAACTCCTGTTTCCTTTTCCTAGTTAATAAATCTTTAGATAGTTTATTATAGGATAGACAAGTACTGTCTGTGGTGTAAAAAGAAAAGGAGTACTTGTGGCACCTGTGGTGTGAGATCTAAAGTACACTTGACCTGGGTAAGTGACTGGTCCTTGAACTCAAATATTGCTGTGATACTCAATGTAAGGGACCATGTCACAAAAGCAGGGTCCCCTGGGTGGCGAGACAGACTGGCATGCCCACGGGGACTGTGTGACGCTCTGGTTAGGCTGTTACGGAGCCCAAGGAGGTTGCACTTGATCACTGGTTGGGAACAGTCTGCCCTAAGCTTACTACTCACACTCCTGAGCCACTGCAGGACAGTTCACCACAAACTACTAAGGGAAGTGCAGGATTCTCCATTTCTTGACACCTTCAGAGCCAGACGAGAGGCCTTTCTGGAAGATGCTTTAAGGTATGTCAACACTGCACGCCGAACTAGCATGGCTATAAATGGCAGTGTGAACAGTGAGGCTTAGCTTGGGCAAGCTGAGAGCGCTACATGCTTGAACCCTAGTGTATACATCCCTGCCCGGCTCTCTGCACACCCACGCAACGCCTCCCATGGCTGCACCACTGGTGCTCGCAGCAAAGCATTCTGCCGCCAGAGCCTGGCACCCCGGCCGGGACGGGCAGAGGGGGAGGGCAAGGCTCCCGAGAGTCCCTGCCGCCAGAGCCTGGCACCCCGGCCGGGACGGGCAGAGGGGGAGGGCGAGGCTCCCGAGAGTCCCTGCCGCCAGAGCCTGGCACCCCGGCCGGGACGGGCAGAGGAGGAAGGGGAGGCTCCCGTGACTCTCGCCGCCAGAGCCTGGCACCCCGGCCGGGACGGGCAGAGGGGGAGGGCGAGGCTCCCGAGAGTCCCCGCCGCCAGAGCCTGGCACCCCGGCCAGGACGGGCAGAGGGGGAGGGGGAGGCTCCCAAGAGTCCCCGGCTCCCAAGAGTCCCCGCTGCCAGAGCCTGGCACCCCGGCCGGGACGGGCAGAGGAGGAAGGGGAGGCTCCCGTGACTCTCGCCGCCAGAGCCTGGCACCCCGGCCGGGACGGGCAGAGGGGGAGGGCGAGGCTCCCGTCCCGCTGACTCCCCCGCCACCGAGCAAGAGTCCCCCCAACCCCTAAGCCTGGCACCCCGGCCAGGACGGGCAGAGGGGGAGGGCGAGGCTCCCGTGACTCCCGCTGCCAGAGCCTGGCACCCCGGCCGGGACGGGCAGAGGGGGAGGGTGAGGCTCCCAAGAGTCCCCGCTGCCAGAGCCTGGCACCCCGGCCAGGACGGGCAGAGGGGGAGGGCGAGGCTCCCGTGACTCCCGCCGCCAGAGCCTGGCACCCCGGCTGGGACGGGCAGAGGGGGAGGGGGAGGCTCCCGTGACTCCCGCCGCTAGAGCCTGGCACCCCGGCAGGGACGGGCAGAGGAGGAAGGGGAGGCTCCCGAGAGTCCCCGCCGCTAGAGCCTGGCACCCCGGCTGGGACGGGCAGAGGGGGAGGGCGAGGCTCCCGTGACTCCCGCCGCTAGAGCCTGGCACCCCGGCTGGGACGGGCAGAGGGGGAGGGCGAGGCTCCCGTGACTCCCGCCGCTAGAGCCTGGCACCCCGGCTGGGACGGGCAGAGGGGGAGGGCGAGGCTCCCGTGACTCCCGCTGCTAGAGCCTGGCACCCCGGCAGGGACGGGCAGAGGAGGAAGGGGAGGCTCCCGAGAGTCCCTGCCGCCAGAGCCTGGCACCCCGGCAGGGACGGGCAGAGGAGGAAGGGCGAGGCTCCCGTGACTCCTGCCGCTAGAGCCTGGCACCCCGGCAGGGAGAGGCAGGGAGGAGGGCGAGGCTCCCGTGACTCCCGCCACCAGAGCCTGGCAGCCTGGCCGGGACGGGCAGAGGGGGAGGGCGAGGCTCCCGTGACTCCCGCCGCCAGAGCCTGGCACCCCGGCCGGGACGGGCAGAGGGGGAGGGCGAGGCTCCCGTGACTCCCGCCGCCAGAGCCTGGCACCCCGGCCGGGACGGGCAGAGGGGGAGGGCGAGGCTCCCGTGACTCCCGCCGCCAGAGCCTGGCACCCCGGCCGGGACGGGCAGAGGGGGAGGGCGAGGCTCCCGTGACTCCCGCCGCTAGAGCCTGGCACCCCGGCCGGGACGGGCAGAGGGGGAGGGCGAGGCTCCCGTGACTCCCGCCGCTAGAGCCTGGCACCCCGGCCGGGACGGGCAGAGGGGGAGGGCGAGGCTCCCGTGACTCCCGCCGCTAGAGCCTGGCACCCCGGCCGGGACGGGCAGAGGAGGAAGGGAGGCTCCCGTGACTCCCGCCGCCAGAGCCTGGCACCCCGGCCGGGACGGGCAGAGGAGGAAGGGGAGGCTCCCGAGAGTCCCTGCCGCCAGAGCCTGGCACCCCGGCCGGGACAGGCAGAGGGGGAGAGCGAGGCTCCCGTGACTCCCGCCGCCAGAGCCTGGCACCCCGGCCGGGACGGGCAGAGGGGGAGGGCGAGGCTCCCGTGACTCCCGCCGCTAGAGCCTGGCACCCCGGCCGGGACGGGCAGAGGGGGAGGGCGAGGCTCCCGAGAGTCCCTGCCGCCAGAGCCTGGCACCCCGGCCGGGACGGGCAGAGGAGGAAGGGGAGGCTCCCGTGACTCCCGCCGCTAGAGCCTGGCAGCCCGGCCGGGACGGGCAGAGGGGGAGGGCGAGGCTCCCGAGAGTCCCTGCCGCCAGAGCCTGGCACCCCGGCCGGGACAAGCAGAGGGGGAGGGCGAGGCTCCCGTGACTCCCGCCGCTAGAGCCTGGCAGCCCGGCCAGGACGGGCAGAGGGGGAGGGCGAGGCTCCCGTGACTCCCGCCGCTAGAGCCTGGCACCCCGGCCGGGACAGGCAGAGGAGGAAGGGGAGGCTCCCGTGACTCCCGCCGCCAGAGCCTGGCAGCCCGCCAGACGGGCAGAGGGGAGGGCGAGGCTCCCGTGACTCCCGCCGCTAGAGCCTGGCACCCCGGCCGGGACAGGCAGAGGAGGAAGGGGAGGCTCCCGTGACTCCCGCCGCCAGAGCCTGGCAGCCCGGCCGGGACGGGCAGAGGGGGCGGCTCCGGTAGGTCCCCGCCGCCAGAGCCTGGCCCCGCTGCACCCAGCCTCGTGTCTCACCCGGGCCAGGCCCCAGGGACACCCCAGGGACACCCAAGTGCCCACGTGCCAGGCAGGGGCCAGGCTCCACGACCCAAGGGCCCTGCAACCTTCGGCTCCACGAATCACCCGCCCAGAGAAGAACCCAGGAGTCCTGGCGGCTAGAGCTCCGCCCCCAGCCAGCGTCCGTGTCTGGCCCCGCCCAGAAGGGAGGAGCCTCCCAGGATTTCCAATAAGGCCACACTACAGATGGCGCCAGGAAGGGAGCGGGCGTCGCTGGATCAGCGCATGCGTATTGTTGGCACCCGACGAGCGAGTCTCGCTTCTGCACATGCGCATTGCCCGCGGCTGGGGTGCGGAGAGAGTCGCGCCTGCGCAGTGTCTGAGTTCGACCGCGGCGCCTGCGCAGTGCCCGGGGCGGGGCGGCCCAGCGGCTGCGCACTGGCTGCTCCGGGTCCCGCTACAAGATGGCGGCGGAGGGGAGGGCGCGGCGGAGGCGGGACGGTAGCAGGAAGCGGACCGCTCTCCGGTGCCCCCAGCCCCTGACCTCGCACGCAGGTACCGGCCGCGCCCGCGTGGGCAGGGGCCGCGCCCCGGGAGATGAGGCGGGGCCAGGGCGCCGGGAGGGGGGCGAAGGGCCCGCGCGGAGGCGGGCGGCGGCCCCGGGTCCTCGGCCGCCATCTTAGTGTCCTGCGCGGGGCGCGGCCGCGGGCTCCCTCTGCCGCCGCGGCCGGGGGCCCGGGAGCGCGCACGGTGGGGGAGCGGGTCCGCGCGCCTGCGCAGGCCGCGGGGTCCGCCCGCCCCGCTCCCCCCGCGGGGCCGGGGCCCGGGCCCGGGCCCGCGGGCGGAGACTGACGCGGCGCGTTCTCGCCCCGTAGCGCCCGCCGCGGGCCAGGCGCGCCCCCGCCCGCTGTGAAGATGCGGCCGCAGCCCCGCGCAGCGCACGGCGTCGCTGGAGAGGCGCGAGAGGCCCGCGAGCCGACCCGCAATTGTAAGTAACTCGGCGGCGCCCACGGACCGTCGCCCGCCCGCGGGAGCGGGCCCTGCTGCGCTGCGCCTCCGGCCCGGCGAGGGATCGCCGCCCCCGCCAGCGCGCCGCTGGGCATCGCGTCTCCGCGGCCGCCGAAGCGCCCCGGCTCGGCCTGGACCAGCTCAGCGCGCCGCCCGGCGCACACGCCTCTTGGTGCACCAGGCGCTCTCGGACTGTGCGTTAGGCTGGTGTCATTTCTTTTTGATGCTCATGTGAGTTAACACCGGCGCCGCCTTCTGCTGCTTTCCTATGGCCTCCCCGTGTGTTACCCATTAAAAACAACCACCAAATCATTAGCTTGTCAGTGTCATTCTCGGTGTCTGGGAGAATAGAAGTAGCCTGGGGGCTAGGGTGGATACACGCTCTGGTGTTGGGCAGTTACAACACCCAAACGCAGTGCAGAAGTGAATTGTGATGGTGTTCAACTTTCCCAGCCCCAGCGAGCAGCCCTGCCCTGGGGATGGCAGGAAATATCTTCAAAAATTTCTCCTTCTCTGCTGCTGATTTCTAATGTCTGCATCCATCCTTCTGTCTGATTATAGAGAGAAACGTGTAAACTCCCCCACTGATGAAATGGAGCAAATCATACTCCTTCTGGCTGTACTCCTTGCTGTGTGTCTTCTTCCACCTCACTGTGCTCTGTTTTGGTAGTTACCACTTCCAGTTATAAGCTCTTTGGGGCAGGGGCTAGATCTTATGTCTGTAAAGTACTGTACACAACACTGATAACATAACCAATATATAATGGTTATTTTGGATCCGTTTTAATAAGTCCCAGCATCGGTGAGATACAGACCAAACTGCTCCTCCAAATAGTCCCATCAGCACAATCCACTGGAGAGAGAAGGGGACTGGGTATAAGAGGACCTGGGTTTATAGTCTGCTCTGCCACATTTTCGTCAGTGACTTGGGAAGAATCACACTCTCTGCTTCCATTTTCCTGTCTGTAAATGGAGATGGAAATGGTCATTTGTTCAAGTTTAAAGCACTTACGGATGAAAAGAATTAGCTAAATATTATTATATGCCACATATGATCAAACCTTGCACCAACTTCTGTCATTTTATTTAACACTTTGTAGCCTGTAAATAGCTGTAGCTTCTTGAAGTACACACCTGGTTTATTTTGGGCCTTACCCCACTACATTTAAGTATAAGGCACACAATATATAATGGAGGACACACCAGCGATCGTATTGAATAAGCATAGGCTTGGGTGTTTTATGTATTTTTCTAAAGAGGGATTAAAAGCTTTAAAAATCAGACAAGATGGGTGCTTAATTTAATGGACTATTTAATGAAGCTTGTGAGTCTGGAGCCCTATGATACACCTATTCCAGCTATGGTCTGGTACATAAAAGTGAGTATAGAGTGAGGCTGAGCTGTTGCTTTTTTCCTGCAAAATGATTGAGCTAGTTTTGCAGCCTTTGCTCACTCCCAGCAATGGAGTTAGGATGACTGTAGAGGTCACACTGGGGTTGGAGAAACAGCACAGATATGCAAAGGTGTAGGAGAAACAGCACAGATATGCAAAGGTGTAGGAGAAACAGCACAGATATGCAAAATTAATATAATTCCTCCACTTGCTGAAGGGTCTAAACGTTTGTATGCTGTGGTGCAGGCTGTCTAATAGGTGCTCTCGGATAATATACAGCCTTTCAGCTGTGGGCTTGTCTTTTGCCTGGTTGTGGAGAATCAAGGCTTCTAGAAGACCTGCACGTTTACACTAACCCACTATATTGCCTTTCCTGGGAGAAGGAGGGAGGGTGGTTCCCTCTTTCTGGCACCTCCCCCGCCAAGCATGCCTACCAATACACTTCAGTTCTGACCTGCACCACAGTCTCCTTTTGTAGTTATCACCACAGGCAGCCAGTGCTCATTCCTGACTTCCTTCTGTTCCACTTCTGCTGGACACACTGCCTATTGTGAAATGTTCAGGGACTTCTTTTAATATGCAGAAGTGGAAACTAGACTGATAAATCTGGTAGTCACTCACATGGGTCTCTATAGATGAAAGATGAGAGCATGGCCACTTTGCAATATTATTTAATATTAGTACCACTTAAATACACTTCTTTTAAAGGCAAAGAGGTGGCAATATCTTAGATACTGAACTGGGAGGACAAAAGGGTGGTGAAATACAAAGGCAGCTGCCGAGTTGGAAAAATGGGCGTAATGGCTGAAAACTTTACATTCATCCCTTTTTCCTTGCTTCACTGTGGAGCCAGCATGTTTAGGGTTGGTAGAGAAGCCATCTCTGATACTTGCCCCAGGACAAGTGTTTTGATAGCTTCACAGGGAGGGCTCACTGAGAAGAGAAGAGCCTGGAGGCTTCTCTCCAGCTGACAACATTTAATAATACTTACATAGTGCTTTAGCAGTATGACCCAATTAACCTTCACATTCCCTTTTGTGGGTAGAGCTGGGAGTGTCACCCCCATTTTGCAGATCAAGAAATTGAAGTACAGAGAGGTGCGGTAACTTATTCAAAGCCCTGGAGCAAGTCAGTGACAAGACCAAGGAGTTCTTGCCTTCCAGCCTGTGTTTGCACCTGTGGAGCTCACTGGTTGCCTTTCTCATAGAGCACTGGAGTTATTTTATGTAGTACTTGAATGTTTAATAGATGTCTCAAGTTTAAAGCTGAGATGGGGGGAGGTCTGCATATGTTCTCAGGTGAGGAGTGATTTCTGTCCCAGGTAGGCGAGTAGGGGATCAGACACTTGACCTTTCTGATGGGGTCTAGTTGTAAGTTGTGTATTTTTAATGCTGCTAAGTGATTCCCCTCTTGTGTGCTGTTCAGAGTTCAAAGTTCCTATTAATCAGTGTATAATTAGGTTAACAGACATCTGTAACAGCTTTCTGCCACCAAGTCAGGTGCTGCCTTTCCTCCCCCACTTTCAAGCCTTCTTTGCTGTTGCTGATACAGGACTGCATTGCTAGAGCTAAGCTGTTGAACTGGCTCTGGGCACAGGGCTAGCCTTGCACAAATCCTATTTTGATGTGCTGTTTGTGTATAAAGAACAGGAGGACTTGTGGCACCTTAGAGACTAACCAATTTATTTGAGCATCAGCTTTCATGAGCTACAGCTCACTTCATCGCTGTAGCTCACGAAAGCTTATGCTCAGATAAATTGGTTAGTCTCTAAGGTGCCACAAGTCCTCCTTTTCTTTTTGCAAATACAGACTAACACGGCTGCTACTCTGAACCTGTTTTGTGTGTATTTTCTCTAGTGCCTGTGCTGAGAAATGGCCAATGAGAATCACGGCAGCCCTGGGGAGGAAGCTTCTCTGATGAGTCACTCACCTGGTACCTCTAACCAGAACCAGCCCAGCTCCCCGAAACCCATCCGACTGGTGCAGGACCTGCCAGGTACTTGTTCTGCTGTTTAGGGGGTCAGGGATAGGATTCTGGAGCCCTGTGGCAGCAGAGAGGGAGACGAGAAAGTTTAGGGTAAGGAGCCTCTTGGAGTGGTAGAGGGAATTTTGGGATGATCCTTCTCCCTCCCCCGCTCCCCCCCCCCCGGGTTTAGCATGCGCTGTGACAGACAGCGATGGAGACTGGAGCAGCGGGGCTGCTCTTGTGCTGATACTTTTCCTCTCTCCTAGATGAGCTGGTGCAGGCTGGCTGGGAGAAGTGCTGGAGTAAACGGGAGAATCGCCCTTACTACTTCAACCGTTTCACCAACCAGTCACTGTGGGAGATGCCTGTCCTGGGACAGCATGATGTCATTGTGAGTAACTGTTTACCTCAGGTGGTCATAGTAATGCAGGGATGCCCCACTGGGACTTGTGTGGCACTTGTGTTAGAGTGGGATTGTAGAGAGAGCTCCCCTCTTCTGAGGGTTTGCTTCACTCGTGGGATGAAGGTGTCTGGTACTGGCAGGGCACTGTGGGGAAGCAGCTTACCTTGCTACAAGAGTCTTATCTGGCCCTGGCGAGGCATTTCTCTTTTCCGGGGGGACGACACACTGCTGGAACTGTACCTACTCTCTGCATGTCAACCTCTAATGCCCCAGTTTCTCTCCACTTGAGAGACTGGGGCAATGAAATGGGAAAGACGAGAGCTTGTTCTCGCCAGTTAGAATTGTGGGGTTGTGAAAGGCTTGTGAACTAATGATTCTCATTGTAACTCTGTCTGTAACTAATCCTCTTAGTCGGATCCTCTGGGATTGAATGCTGCTCCAATGCCTGTGGAAGGAGGAGTGGTGGAAACCACTCCGGAGAGCAAGCCAAGGAAGAGAAGACTCTCTGAGGAAGTTCAGCCCAGTGGTAATAGTGTGAAGAAAGCTAAGGTAGGTCCTAATTCTCTGTAGGGTGTCCTTAAGCCCACCCAGGTTGGACTAAACGCTAGAATTAATGTCAAATATAGTTTAGACAGGAGGGCTATTAAAGCATTGGTCAGCAGGTAACAGAGCTGAGTTACTCATGGAAGCTCCTATAAGAACTGAAGATTCTGTGGCTATGTGTTTTGAATATTGAGGAAAAACCTGGGTTGCTGAGGGAAAAGGGAGTGGAACTGAGGCTGTCTGCATGGGGGGAAGGCTGCTGAGTTCCTGAGGAACTCAGGAACCCCTACAAATGGATGGCGGTAGCAGGATGACTCCAAATTTCTGACTGTCTAATATTACAGATAGTGTGTCTCAGTACAGTGAAGCAAGTAGGCAGAGCCTTGTGTATCAGCCTGCTGGGCCTGAAAGGGGCATGCTCAGGATCTAACCGACCATCATATGTGGCATTGGGAAGGAATTTTTCCTTGAGTCATGTTGGCAGTGATCTTGGGGGTTGGGGCGGGAGGAGTCATAGAATCATAGAATATCAGGATTGGAAGGGACCTCAGGAGGTCATCTAGTCCAACCCCCTGCTCAAAGCAGGACCAATTCCCAGTTAAATCATCCTAGCCAGGGCTTTGTCAAGCCTGACCTTAAAAATATCTAAGGAAGGAGATTCTACCACCTCCCTAGATAATGCATTCCAGTGTTTCACCACCCTCCTAGTGAAAAAGTTTTTCCTAATATCCAACCTAAACCTCCCCCACTGCAACTTGAGACCATTACTCCTCGTTCTGTCATCAGCTACCACTGAGAACAGTCTAGATCCATCCTCTTTGGAACCCCCTTTCAGGTAGTTGAAAGCAGCTATCAAATCCCCCTTCATTCTTCCCTTCCTCAGTCTAAACAATCCCAGTTCCCTCAGCCTCTCCTCGTAAGTCATGTGTTCCAGTCCCCTAATCATTTTTGTTGCCCTCCGCTGTACTCTTTCCAATTTTTCCACATCCTTCTTGTAGTGTGGAGCGCAAAACTGGACACAGTACTCCAGATGAGGCCTCACCAATGTCGAATAGAGGGGAACGGTTTGCTGGCAATGCCCCTACATATATATATACATCCCCAAATGCCACTGGCCTTCTTGACAACAGGGGCACACTGTTGACGCATATCCAGCTTCTCGTCCACTGTAACCCCTAGTCCTTTTCTGCAGAACTGCTGCCTAGCCTTTTGGTCCCTAGTCTGTAGCGGTGCATGGGATTCTTCCGTCCTAAGTGCAGGACTCTGCACTTGTCCTTCCTGAACCTCATCAGATTCCTTTTGGCCCAATCCTCTAATTTGTCTAGGGCCCTCTGTATCCTATCCCTACCCTCTAGTGTATCTACCACTCCTCCCAGTTTAGTGTCATCTGCAAACTTGCTGAGGGTGCAATCCACACCATCCTCCAGATCATTTATGAAGATATTGAACAAAACTGGCCCGAGGACCAATCCTTGGGGCACTCCACTTGATACCGGCTGCCGAGACGACATAGAGCCATTGATCACTACCCGTTGAGCCTGACAGTCTAGCCAACTTTCTATCCACCTTATAGTCCATTCATCCAGCCCATACTTCTTTAACTTGCTGGCAAGAATACTGTGGGAGACCGTGTGAAAAGTGTTGCTAAAGTCAAGGAACAACGCATCCACTGCTTTCCCCTCATCCACAGAGCCAGTTATCTCGTCATAGAAGGCAATTAGATTAGTCAGGCATGACTTGCCCTTGGTGAATCCATGCTGACTGTTCCTGATCACTTTCCTCTCCTCTAAGTGCTTCAGAATTGATTCCTTGAGGACCTGCTCCCTGATTTTTCCAGGGACTGAGGTGAGGCTGACTGGCCTGTAGTTCCCAGGATCCTCCTCCTTCCCTTTTTTAAAGATGGGCACTACATTAGCCTTTTTCCAGTCGTCCGGGACTTCCCCCAATCGCCATGAGTTTTCAAAGATAATGGCCAATGGCTCTGCAATCATATCCACCAACTCCTTTAGCGCTCTCGGATGCAGCGCATCCGGCCCCATGGACTTGTGCTCGTCCAGCTTTTCTAAATAGTCCCGAACCACTTCTTTCTCCACAGAGCGCTGGTCACCTCCTCCCCATGCTGTGCTGCCCAGTGCAGTAGTCTGGGAGCTGACCTTGTTTGTGAAGACAGAGGCAAAAAAAGCATTGAGTACATTAGCTTTTTCCACATCCTCTGTCACTAGGTTGCCTCCCTCATTCAGTAAGGGGCCCACGCTTTCCTTGGCTTTCTTCTTGTTGCTAACATACCTGAAGAAAACCTTCTTGTTACTCTTGACATCTCTTGCTAGCTGCAACTCCAGGCGTGATTTGGCCTTCCTGATTTCACTCCTGCATGCCCGAGCAATATTTTTATACTCATCCCTGGTCACTTGTCCAATCTTTCACTTCTTGTAAGCTTCTTTTTTGTGTTCAAGATCAGCAAGGATTTCACTGTTAAGTCAAGCTGGTCACCTGCCATATTTACTATTTTTTCTACGCATCGGGATGATTTGTCCCTGTAACCTCAATAAGGATTCTTTAAAATACAGCCAGCTCTCCTGGACTCCTTTCCCCCTCATGTTGTTCTCCCAGGGGATCCTGCCCATCAGTTCCCTGAGGGAATCAAAGTCTGCTTTTCTGAAGTCCAGGGTCCGTATTCTGCTGCTCTCCTTTCTTCCCTGTGTCAGGATCCTGAACTCGACCATCTCATGGTCACTGCCTCCCAGGTTCCCATCCACTTTTGGTTCCCCTACTAATTCTTCCCGGTTTGTGAGCAGCAGGTTAAGAAGAGCTCTGCCCCTAGTTGGTTCCTCCAGCACTTGCACCAGGAAATTGTCCCCTACATTTTCCAAAAACGTCCTGGCTTGTCTGTGCACCGCTGTATTGCTCTCCCAGCAGATATCAGGGTGATTGAAGTCTCCCATGAGAACCAGGGCCTGAGATCTAATAACTTCTGTGAGTTGCCGGAAGAAAGCCTCGTCCACCTCATCCCTCTGGTCCGGTGGTCTGTAGCAGACTCGCACCACGACATCACCCTTGTTGCTCACACTTCTAAACTTAATCCAGAGACTCTCAGGTTTTTCTGCAGTTTCATACTTGAGCTCTGAGCAGTCATACTGCTCCCTTACATACATACAGTGCAACTCCCCCACCTTTTCTGCCCTGCTTGTCCTTCCTGAACAGTTTATATCCATCCATGACAGTACTCCAGTCATGTGAGTTATCCCACCAAGTCTCTGTTATTCCAATCACATCATAATTCCTTGACTGTGCCAGGGCTTCCAGTTCTCCCTGCTTGTTTCTCAGGCTTCTTGCATTTGTGTATAGGCACTTGAGATAACTCGCTGATCGTCCCTCTTTCTCAGTATGAGGCAGGACCCCTGCCTTCTCGCGCGTTCCTGCTCGTGCTTCCTCCCAGTATCCCACTTTCCCACTTACCTCGGGGCTTTGGTCTCCTTCCCCCGGTGAACCTAGTTTAAAGCCCTCCTCACTAGGTTAGCCAGCCTGCTTGAGAAGATGCACTTCCCTCTCTTTGTTAGGCGGAGCCCGTCTCTGCCCAGCACTCCTCCTTCTTGGAACTCCATCCCATGGTCAAAGAATCCAAAGCTTTCTCTCCGACACCACCTGCGTAGCCATTTGTTGACTTCCACGATTCGACGGTCTCTACCCAGGCCTTTTCCTTTCACGGGGAGGATGGACGAGAAAAGCACTTGCGCCTCAAACTCCTTTATCCTTCTTCCCAGAGCCACGTAGTCTGCAGTGATCCGCTCATTCTTGGCAGCATCATTGGTGCCCACGTGGAGTTCGCCTTCTTCTGCAGCATGTGGGTGTGGGTCACTTGCCAGGATTATCTGGGTATATCTCACTTAATCGTTTCTCTGCCATTGCAGAGGCCTGGGGCACTTGTGCCCCTAGTCCCCTTCTATTTTTTCCCCGTGCACAGAACAGTCTGATCTCCTGTGGTCTGTGATACTTTAATTTTGTTTGCTGCATTAGTGTGCAGGTGCTAACTAGTGTTGGTGGCCTTTGATATTGTTATGCAGACAAAACTACACAGGATCGTTTCAGGGGACAAGACAAGATGTCACGTTTATCATAACACAATTTGATTTATGACCAATAACTAATATCTAATACCTATGTATGTACGTACACACACACACCCACTCCCAAATGTTCTGCAGCTGCTGAATGTAGCTTGAGTTCGTGGCTTGGGTTCGTAAAGCCGGGCACAAGGAAGAGCTGGGTCTCTGTTGGGCATGCACCGATGCCCTTCCATGTTGGCAGCAGAATGTTACCCTCCAAAGTCTTCCATCGCATCCATCCTTTTTGTAGGCTTTAGTATGAATCCAGAGTCTATAGGTCTTGCTGTGTCAGGCTGCCTCTGGGTCCGGTGTGATTGATCACCTGTCAATCGCAGACCTGACTTTCAGCCTGGGAACTGGCTTTGATGTTTCTTCAATTGTACTTTTGTTCTGTTCTTTTTAGAGTGGACTCTTCTTGCTTTGTCAGGACTGTGTTGGTGTTTACACTTTATTTCATCAGGACAGGCTGGGGCTGGAGGTTGATTCCATCATCCATATATACCTCATTCACACATCTAAACTAAACTAATAAGATTACAGCAGGGTTTTGCAAAAATGAAGGTTGCAGCAAGCTTTTACAAAATGGAGTGAGCATTTTAAAATGGAGTTTGAGTTACAAGGAAGGAATGGCAAACCGAGAAGAGAAGTTACAATTTAGAGGAGTATAATGAATGACAAACAGTGAGCAGAAGTTACAATGTTGAAACAGTGTAAATTTCAGTGATTTAAGCAGCAATTGGATTGAAAGTGAAACTCAACCAGTTATTATTGGGGTAACCGGTTTTATGAATGAATGTTGTTTCATTAATAAGATTTTGCTTATGAAGTTATATTAATAAAGTGAACAATTAAAAACAATTTCATTGATCAGTTCTACAATATACAGGAGGTCAGACTGTATGATCTGGTGGTCCTTTCCTGCTTTACATGCTATGCCTCTAAAGCAAAGGTCTCCTGTCAAACCAGCCTGAAAGTAACCACTCCTACCAAACCAGGAAACCAACTGAAAGGTGCTTCCAGTAATGAAAGGCCAAAAATATCTGATTCCATAGTGTACAGCAGATGGGAGGCTGTGTCCCAAAGGGAGTGAGGCATTCGTTTGAGGGAGGGGATGAGGGCTGAAAAGCACAGGCCAAGGTGAGAGAGAGAGAGAGAGGGCACAAATCTTGCTGCTGTTGATCAAAACTGCAGCAGCTGAATCTGAGAGCATTAGCAAGCACAAACCAGTTGGCAAAGAGAAGGTTCTTCCTAGCTGTTTTTGTGAGATGACGCTTGGGCTGTGAAAGAAAACATGTCGGGGGGTGGGGGGGGGGGCAGGGGTCCTGGAGGACTTTACAGCCAAGCATCTGTGAGATCTGATGTGAATTGTAATATTCTCTGAAAAGTTTCGGAGTGGTAGCCGTGTTAGTCTGTATCAGCAAAAACAATGAGGAGTCTGTGTGGCACCTTAGAGACTAACAAATTTATTTGGGCATAAGCTTTTGTGGGCTAGAACCCACTTCATCAGATGCATGGAGTGAAAATACAGGAGTAGGTATAAATACATGAAAAGATGGGAGTTGCCTTACCAGGTATGAGGTCAGTCTAACAAGACAATTCAATTAACAGTAGGATACCAAGGGAGGAAAAAAAACTATTGTAGTGGTAATGAATGGCCCACTTCAAACAATTGACAAGAAAGCGTGAGTAACTGTAGGGGGAAATTAGTATGGGGGAAATTAGGTTTAAGTTTTGTAATGACCCAACCACTCCCAGTCTTTATTCAGGCCTAATGTGATGGTGTCCAGTTTGCAAATTAATTCCAGTTCTGCAGTTTCATGTTGAAGTCTGTTTTTGAAGTTTTTTTGTTGAAGAGTGGCCACTTTTAAGGTCTGTTATGGAGTGTCCAGGGAGATTGAAGTGCTCTCCTACTGGTTTTTGAATGTTATAATTCCTGATGTCAGATTTGTGTCCATTTATTCTTTTGCGTAGAAACTGTCCAGTTTGGCCAATGTACGTGGCAGAGGGGCATTGCTGGCACATAGCACATTGGTAGATGTGCAGGTGAACGAGCCTCTGATGGTGTGGATGATGTGGTTAGGTCCTATGATTGTGTCCCTTGAATAGATATGTGGACAGAGTTGGCACCGGGGTTTGTTGCAGAGTTTGGTCCTGGGTTGGTGTTTTTGTTGTGTGGTGTGTAGCTGCTGGTGAATATTTGCTTTAGGTTGGGGGGCTGTCTGTAAGTGAGTTTTCTTCAACAAAAAAACTTCAAAAACAGACTCCAACGTGAAACTGTGACAGGAAAAGATATTTAAGCCTCATTAGCCAAAATTCCTAGAGCAGCACAGAGTAACTAATCCTAAAGGAAGCCCCTTACAAAGGCACTGTCTTCACTGTGTCTGCCTTCCTTTCGTGTTTGAGATCTGTATTAGAAACAGAAATCAAGGGGGGGCCTAGAACTTGGTCTCAAAGAGTCACTTGAATTGTTCAAGGTCAGAGGACAGCCCCAATTACTGTCTAAAGAAAAGGAGTACTTCTGGCACCTTAGAGACTAACAGATTTATTTGAGCATAAGCTTTCGTGAGTTACAGCTCACTTCATCAGATGCATTCAGTGGATCCGATGAAGTGAGCTGTAGCTCACGAAAGCTTATGCTCAAATAAATGGGTTAGTCTCTAAGGTGCCACAAGTCCTCCTTTTCTTTTTGCGAATACAGACTAACACGGCTGCTACCCTGAATCCAATTACTGTCTAGTAACTCAGATCCCATGTCGCCTGGCACCCAAGGAATAGGGAAATTGGACTCAGACCTGTACCCAATAGTTGTTGTACTTGCGGCGGTGAGGGAATTATGTGTGCCTCTGTGCTGGGAAGTGGGCTATGACTGAACAATGGGGTAATGTAGGTGCCCATATTTGTGTATGTCAGAGGCAATGTGAACATACTCTGTCTCTGGCAATCAGCTGGGCATCCTGAGTTCTGCACTGTTGCAGGAGTGATTTGGGGGATAATCGACACAGTGCCCCAGTGCCTTACTTTCTAGTGTGATGACTGGCATTTCTCACTCTCAGGTGGATGTTCCAGGGAACACGACTGCCCAGCCAGTCCCCAGTTCTCCCAGTATTCCAGGAACCCCTGTTTTAAAGATATGTGGTATTACACCCGAAGATAAACAACAGGCAGCTCTTTTACGACCAACTGAGTGAGTTGTCTCCTCTTTGCTTCTGCTCTTTCCTTATTACCAAGCTGGGGACAGTAGACTTTCCCCATGCCTGTGAGGGAGAACTTGGCAGGCCCCAGGTTGGGGGAGGCTGGGTGGTTCAGTCTTCTGACTGCTGGTATGTCCCAAGGTGACTTCTTTAAGGGGAGACAATTTGATTAAATATCTGACCATCCTGACGACTGTTGCTCCTGCCACAGAGTATACTGGGACCTGGATATCCAAACAAATGCCGTGATTCAGCAGAGGGCACCGTCTGAAGTGCTACCTCTGCACCCCGAGGTGGAGCTGCTTCGATCCCAGCTCATGCTGAAGCTGCGGCAGCATTACCGGGAGCTCTGCCAGCAGCGAGAGGGTAAATTCCTGTCTCTCGCTTTCCCCCTGCCGCTGCAGTGCCTTGCTCTCCTTCCTTTTGTCCTCTTCATCTGCCCCTCTAGTCTGTCTCTCTTCTTCCCTGTTCTTTGCCTTCCTTATGGTCTCTGACACAATTTTAGAAAGCCATATAAGATTGTAGACCCATCAAGCAGAGATTGCATGCAGCAGGATGGGACCCTGGTTCAAGCATCTGGGCAGTACCATAATTAGGGCCCTACCAAATTCATGATCCATTTTGGTCAATTTCATGGCTATAGGATTTTAAAAATTTCATGATTTCAGCTATTTAAATCTGAAATTTCAGGGTGTTGTAATTGTAGGGATCCTGACCCAAAAAAAGGTTGCGGGGGAGGTCTCAAGGTTATTGTAAAGGGGTTGTGAAACTGCTACCCTTACTTCTGCACTGCTCATGGCGGTGGCACTGCCTTCAGAGCTGGGCAGCTGGAGAATGGTGGCAGCTGGCTGGGAGCCCAGCTCTGAAGGCAGACCTGCTGCCAGCAGAAGTAAGGATGGCATGCTATGGTATTGCCACCCTTACTTTTGCGCTGTTGCATTCAGAGCTGGGCTCTTGGTCAGTAGCCGCCACACTCCAGCCAGCAGCGCAGAAGTAAGAGTGGTGTGGTATGGACACTGTCTTCAGAGCGGGTGCCCGGCCAACAGCCCCGTCGCCAGCTGCCCAGCTCTGAAAGCAGTGCTGAAGTGAAGACGGCAATACTGCAACCCCCTAAAATAACCCTGCGGCACCCACCACAACACCCTTTTGGGTCAGGGCCCCCAGTTTGAGAAACGCTGGTCTCCCACGTGAAATCTGTACAGTACAGGGTAAAAGCACACAAGACTAGATTTCATGGGGGAAGACAAGATTTAACAGTCCGTGACGTGTTCTTCATGGCTGTGAATTCGGTAGGGCCCTAACCATAATACTATTATTAAATAGTAATAAACAAACCTTTTTTCTTTTCCTCTAGGGATTGACCCTCCACGGGAATCCTTTAATCGCTGGATGTTGGAGCGGAAGGTAGTGGATAAAGGGACAGACCCTCTGTTACCAAGCAACTGTGAGCCAGTAGTCTCTCCTTCCATGTTTAGAGAAATCATGAATGACATTCCCATCAGGTACTACTCAAGCAAAGTACACATTTGGGGTTTCTGTTCTTGGGGCATTATAGGGGTTTTCCTAGGAAATTCTTTACTGCTGAGTTTGACTTTCCCCAGTGGAGCAGCAGCAAGCTTGTGTGAAAGGTGGGAGCTGGCCCTGATGCTTCCTGCTTGGAGTGGTAACTGGGAAGCTGACTGATATGTGTGTATTTGTATTTGTTTCAGATTATCCCGAATCAAGTTCCGTGAGGAAGCCAAGCGACTCCTATTCAAATATGCCGAGGCTGCAAAACGGCTTATTGAATCCAGGTTGGGATTGTCTCTTGCAGTTTGTATTATCAGCTTCTGAGAGCAGAGAATATTCTAAAGCCTTTCTAGAAGTGGCTGTTGTATCCCTACCTTGAATTCTTTTCAGTATTGGTCACCTCATCTCAGTAAGAATGAAGCAGGACTAGAAAAGACCCCCAAGAAAGGCAATGAAAATGATCAGCAGCATCTTGTGGGGGAGTGGATCAGCTGAGCATGAGTTTGGAAAGATTTATGCTATTGTGACTGGAAAGAAGACAAGGAGATAGTGAGAGTCAGTGAAATGCCTGGCACAGAGAGGGCCAACTGTGTGCTGTGTATCCTTGTGATAAGACAAGAACAGTAGGCACCAATGGTAGGAAAAGGCAGCCAATTTAAAATGGATAAAAAGCAGTATTACCCAGCTTTGAATGCTCTGTGGAACTCTCCATTACAGGATAGTATTGAGACAAATAGGTCCATCTTTTATTTTTGCCATGTTTTCTGTTAATGAGGATAGTATGTGCACAAGTTAAGTGCATGACAAGGGCTAAAGATCCTTCAGGGTCAGGAAGAAAGAATAAACTCCTGGCTGAGGTACAGAATGGCACCGTGAGATGCCATATTCCTTTTCATTGAGCAGCATTGGTGGCTGAAGCAAGGCAGAGCCCTGCCCCAAGGAGCTCAAAATGTAAACCCTATACAGATAGTCCAATCCAGACATGGTAGAAGATTGCAACTTCTATTCATTCAGTTTTTAGTTTTAGTTCGTTGGGGAGTGGAGGATTTTATGCCTTCCCTCGAAGCTTCCAGTAGTGGACACCTTTGGAGATGAAGGGACCATTGGTCAGTTAGGGCAATTCCTTTACTTACCTCTCCTGTTGCAGAGAGGAGAGCAGCCATCTACACTGTGTCTTGGAGACAGCATGGCAGGTCCTGATCAGGCAGGCATCTGAGAAACTGCCCACAGGAATCCTGGATGGCAGTGACAGGGCACTGCATTGAGGAAGACACAGCTGCCAAATTTCCCCAACTGATAGGAGGGCCCTGTGTTGGGAGGGGACATGTTGTCACAGCAGATGTGGGTTAAATTCCTATTTCCCCACTGTGTGCAGGAGTGCATCACCAGACAGTAGGAAAGTTGTGAAATGGAATGTGGAGGACACCTTCAGCTGGCTGCGACGGGACCATTCAGCCTCTAAGGAGGACTACATGGTCAGTATCCCCTTTCCAGCTCAGTACAACTGAATATGCTTGAATCCAAGAAAAGGTGGAGGGCAGGGAAAAGCCCCTCATTGGATAGTCTGTGGTTGTTTTATCACTTACAGCTGCTTTGTGAGATAGAAGTGTTACCTGCCCAAAGTTCTCTGTTACTCACACACTCTCTAGGGTACCCACCCTTACCCTGTTTCAAGGGTTCAGGCGTAACCCTGCACTCTGGGTTCGCGGGGTCTTTTAGCAGTAATATCCTACTTAACCTCTATTTATTAACAATCACCAAAACAGAATGCACACGCTAAACATACAATGCTCACCACTCCCAATAAGGCAGATGAACTTTTCTTGGTGGCCGATCAGGTCATCTAGGGGATTCCAGCTTCTGCACATTGTGGTTGGCAGGGTGTTGAGGTCTGGCAGCTGATCTTGGGGTGGTGTCCTGGAGTTGGTTCCAAAGAACTTCCTTTTGGACCCCAGTTTATAGTGAAATTTGAGTCCTGCTTAGCTGTATCTTAACCAATCATTTTACTAAAATATTAATAAACAATTTTCTAACCAATCCTAACATATCAGAGACCATACAGATTAAACCAGAGAAGTAGGGACCAAAAGGCAAAACAATAGAAGTAAAGATTTTACAATCACAACTGTTGATAAGTGATTTCGTGCGAGACAGAATGCTATCAAAAAAAGTTTTCTTTAACTATCGTAAGATCCTTTTCTTTATCTGGTGATGGTGGGTGCTCTTAGGACAGGATCTCCTTCTTAACAGCTCGATATTACATTGTTTTGATGCAATTTAGATGGAATGTGAGGATGTGACTTTCTGTTTCTTGGGTAATGGTTGCTGCTCTCCTGATATGGCTGCAGACAAAGGCCTTATCCTTACAGAAGAGAGAGCCTTGTTAGAAGCCCATGTGGATTTGGTGCAAGGCTGAGGGAGAGTTGGTGATTATGGTGTGTAAGGGCCTCTCTCTGACTCTGCAGGACCGCCTAGAGCACTTACGTAAGCAGTGTGGGCCCCATGTGTCTGCTGCAGCCAAGGACTCTGTTGAAGGCATTTGCAGTAAGATTTACCACATATCGCTCGAATATGTCAAGCGGATCCGGGAAAAGCATCTTGCCGTCCTCAAGGAGCACAATATATCTGGTAGGCCACAAGCTCTGAAGAGGCACAGTACAACGCACCACATGACAACAGAGTGGTGGAATGCAGCCTAGCCTGTCGCATTCAAATGCAACTTGTTGTAGTGGGGGAGGCTGCTTTCTGAATCCTAGGGGCCATGTTTAATTACAACAGACATGGTGGGTCCAGTGCTAGCTCAAGTGACAATAGCACAGTAGGAGAGCAGTGGGCAGGTGGGCCTCCGAGACACCCCTGCCAATTAATATGAACCATCTTAGAAGTGTACACCAGGGGGTCTCACACTTTGTAGTTTCGGTAGGCTGAGAATAATGTACAAACCAGGGGCTTCTTGTATTCCTCCATTGTCCCAGCTAGCCTGGGGCAGTGTATGCCCACCAGTCCCCATCTTCCCCTCTCCATCTCTGCTCCAAGTCCCTGCTGCCCCAAGCACTACTCTTCCCCAGCATTGTCTGGGTCTCCTTCCTTCCCCACCACCTGTATCTTGAGGACTAGATGGCCAGTATCCTCTCATGCCTCCCAGATGTCTGTTCCCCTGCCCCCACGTCTCCATCCCCTCCTCCTGATCCCTACTTCCTCCCTTACAAAATTGCTATCTTATTTCTTAGGCTATGTCTACACTAGTGACCTTACAAGCGGCACAGCTGTACCGCTGCAGCTGCACCACTGTAGGGTCTCCCTTGTAGTCGCTCTGTGCCGACGGGATAATTGAACTACCCCCAATGAGCAGCAGGAGCGATGTTGGCAGGACATGCTCTGCTGCCAAGTCGCTCAGGGGTGTGGATTGTTGTTTTTTTTCCCCACACCCCTGAGCGATAGAAGTTTTTTGCTGACATAAGTGCTAGTGTAGACACTGCCTTAGAGTCCAGGTTACAGTCTTCCCTGGGCCCCACAGCAAATTAAGCAGCTTTCGCTGATATGTGTAGGCTTCAGCAGGGGGCAATAGAGAGATTCTTCTTGCAGCACCAGCCTGGGGGACCTTGATTTTCCTCTTAATCTGGCTTGTCTAGTGTTCCAGTTTGCATCAAAAGCCATAGCCATGGATGCCCAGAGAATATTCCCTGAGTGAGGTTGATTAGCTGCGGTGTCCAGAGTTATTGTGTTGAAGCCAGAGAAGTGCTGTTGAGTTGAGTGTAGGGTCTTGCTTCACTTGGCCAACACATATTTAAAGTAAGCTGTGGGTGCAGCGCTTAACTGGGTGCCTGAGTGGACTGCCTGGTTGGGGTGACCACATTACAGGTCAGTCCTGTCTCCTTATGTGTTTGGAGTGGGGCCTACCGCCTTTGCTCCAGACCCATTACTCCTGTCTTTGGGGTGGAGGTGGAGCCTGTCCCCTTAGTGTGCTTGGATTCTAATGTGACTGTCTTTCTCTGTCTCCCACATAGCCGAGGTAGAAGCACCAGAGGTCCAGGATCGGCTTGTATACTGTTACCCAGTGAGACTGGCCATCCCTTCCCCACCAGTCCCCAATGTAGAAATGCACGTGGAGAACAATGTCGCATGTGTTCGGTACAAGGGGGAGATGGTGAAAGTGAGCCGCAGCTACTTCAGCAAGCTGGTAAGGGCTGTACTTCAGTCCTGCTGAGTGAGAGAAACACACTCACCATTGTGAATTGCCTTTTAATGGGAGAGATCTGCCTTCTCCTTGCCTTCTGAGAGGGACTCTGAAACAGCATGGTCTCTTTCCACATTGGAAGGGGAATTCTGCCCAGTGCTGGTTGCTTGACTTTGAGAGAGAGTTTGAGAATTCAGAGATCCAGCCGGGGTGGAGAATGTAGAGGCCAAAGCAGGCCTCCATGTATGACAAGGAACTGTACAAACAAAGGAGTATTTATGGACTGGCCTATGCGCTCAGAATGCTGAAGGGTCTAAGTGAAAACTGATCATTGCCTGCTGTTACCCACCCTTCAGTATTAGGCCACTCATTAAAAGACTGTCCATTAAAACTTAGAGTGCAGCGTATTTAGAGCCAATAAAAGGCAGCAGTTCCTCAGTGTGTAGGCATCTTGTGAAATACCTGTCATTACTGGTAACTGAGTGAAGGACCACAGCGAGGTAATTTTATGTCTACTAACGTGTAATAATGCAAACTAAAATAACAAGTTCACCTGTTTCAGGGTGTTAGCTGATCAGTGGTGAGGTCAGAAAGGAATCTCCTTCCCCATATGTGCAACTTTGCTCAGTTGGCCAGGTGAATCATTAGTGTTTTGCCTTTGAAGCATCAGCTATTGGCCTGTGCTGGACTCGATGGACCAGTAGTCTGATTAGATATGATAGGCCTGCACAAATGTATAATAAGGGACAGTCCATGCCCCAAGAAAATAAAGAATCTTAAAAGCAGTAAGCTCCATGGATCAGGGGCTGTCACTTTGTTATATGTTTGTGTGTCCAGTGCCTAGCACAGTGGGCCCCGGAGTCTTTGTGGATAGTTCTCTGAAGACGTCCACGCAGTGTGCAGCAGCAGTCAAAAAAGCAAACAGGATGTTAGGAATAATTAAAAAAGGGATAGAGAATAAGACTGAGAATATCTTACTTCCCTTATATAAATCCATGGTGCGCCCACATCTTGAATACTGCATACAGATGTGGTCCCCTCATTTCAAAAAAGATATACTGGCATTAGTAAAGGTTCAGAGAAGGGCAACTAAAACGATTAGGGGTTTGGAACGAGTCCCATATGAGGAGAGATTAAAGAGGCTAGGACTTTTCAGCTTGGAAAAGAGGAGACTAAGGGGGGATATGATAGAGGTCTATAAAATCATGAGTGGTGTGGAGAAAGTGAATAAAGAAAAGTTATTTACTTGTTTCCATAATATAAGAACTAGAGGCCATCAAATGAAATTAATGGGTAGCAGATTTAAAACAAATAAAAGGAAAGTTATTCTTCACTCAGCGCACAGTCAACCTGTGGAACTCCTTGCCTGAGGAGCTTGTGAAGGCTAGGACTATAACAGGATTTAAAAGAAAACTGGATAAATTCATGGAGGTTAAGTCCTGGCTAATAGCCATTAATGGATGGGTAAGGAATGGTGTCCCTAGCCTCTGTTTGTCAGCGGGTGGAGATGGATGGCAGGAGAGAGATCATTAGATCATTACCTGTTAGGTTCACTCCCTCTGGGGCACCTGGCATTGGCCACTGTCGGTAGACAGGATACTGGGCTTGGTGGACCTTTGGTCTGACCCAATATGGCCTTTCTTATGTTCTTCTGACCTGGCAGAGGCTTCTAGGTGCTACTGCAACGAGAGTGTTAAATAAGAATACCTGCTGAAATCAGGACAGCTCCTACCATCTCAGTCAGGGGAGGCTTACCTGAAGAGTGGTGTTAGTAGGCCCCCAGGGTTCCGATTTGTGTCACATGCCCACCCCACAGCAAGCCCAACTCTGGATGTGAGGTCTTTGGTAAAAGGTAAGTTCCCTCTAGTGTCTAGCCCGCAGTGTGCCACTTTAAAAGTAGGGCATAAGCTTTTACTTTGTGTAATGACCCATCCACTCCCAGTCTTTATTCAAGCCTAATTTAATGGTGTCCAGTTTGCAAATTAATTCCAGTTCTGCAGTTTCTTGTTGGAGTCTGTGTTTGAAGTTTTTTTTGTTGAAGAATTGCGACTTTTAGGTCTGTAATTGAGTGACCAGGGAGGTTGAAGTGTTCTCCGACTGGTTTATGAATGTTATAATTCTTGACGTCTGATTTGTGTCCATTTATTCTTTTACGTAGAGACTGTCTGGTTTGACCAATGTACATGGCAGAGGGGCATTGCTGGCACATGATGGCATATATCACATTGGTAGATGTGCAGGTGAACGAGCCTCTGATGGTGTGGCCAATGTGATTAGGTACTATGATGGTGTCCCTTGAATAGATATGTGGACAGAGTTGGCAATGGGGTTTTGTGCAAGGATAGGTTCCTGGGTTAGTGTTTTTGGTGTGTGGTTGCCGGTGAGTATTTGCTTCAGGTTGGGGGGCTGTCTGTAGGCAAGGACTGGCCTGTCTCCAAGATCTGTGAGAGTGATGGGTCATCCTTCAGGATAGGTTGTAGATCCTCAATGATGCGCTGGAGAGGTTTTAGTTGGGGGCTGAAGGTGACGGCTAGTGGCGTTCTGTTACTTTCTTTGTTGGGTCTGTCCTGGAATAGGCGACTTCTGGGTATTCTTCTGGCTCTGTCAATCTGTTTCTTCACTTCAGCAGGTGGGTATTGTAGTTTTAAGAAACTGCAGAACTGGAATTAATTTGCAAACTGGACACCATTAAATTAGGCTTGAATAAAGACTGGGAGTGGATGGGTCATTACACAAAGTAAAAGCTATTTCCCCATGTTTATTTCCCCTACTATTACTCACACCTTCCTGTCAACTGTTTGAAATGGGCCATCCTGATTATCACTACAAAAGTTTTTTTTTCTCTTGCTGATAATAGCCCAGCTTAATTGATTAGTTTCGTTAGAGTTGGTATGGCAACACCCATTTTTTCATGTTCTCTGTGTGTGTATATATATCTTCCTACTGTATTTTCCATTGCATGCATCCGATGAGGTGGGTTTTAGCCCATGAGAGCTTATGCACAAATAAATTTGTTAGTCTCTAAGGTTTCAGAGTAACAGCCTTGTTAGTCTGTAGTCACAAAAAGAAAAGGAGTACTTGTGGCACCTTAGAGACTAACCAATTTATTTGAGCATAAGCTTTCATGAGCTACAGAAAGCTTATGCTCAAATAAATTGGTTAGTCTCTAAGGTGCCACAAGTACTCCTTTTCTTTTAGTCTCTAAGGTGCCAGAAGTACTCCTCATTCTTTTTGCTGTTACAGACTAACACGACTACCGCTCTGAAACCTATTAAAAGTAGATGTTCCTGAAAAATTGTACAAAGCTCTCTAAAGTCTCTACCACTCCCATCACCTCAGTGCCTGCTTCTCTCAATGGATGGGATTGTATTAGCACCCCCCATCTCTCTGATTTCTTATCACTTCAGCATCCTGTGGCTCTCTAACACTCCTGCTTCCTTTATTGCTATTTTTAATGACCTGGGTTTCTCTTCCAGTGGCTTCTCTATCGGTACAGTTGCATTGACGACTCTGGCTGCGAGAGGTTTCTGCCCAGGGTTTGGTGCCTTCTCCGTCGATACCAGGTACTGGTTCCTTCTCAGCTTTTGGGCAGCAGGCAGTTCTGGTGGAACTGTAATTCTGACACTGTCAGCAGTGCTCTGGGAGACCCAGCAGAAAACTGAACAATAGATCCAGAAGTGGAGCAAAGTTTGGGCTTAAACAGGGTTTTCTCCAAGATGTTCGGGTAGGGGTGCTATGCTGGGGAACTATCATGTGGTCTTGGCATTCACCCTCAAGCTTGGAGAAGTGCACACATTTACAGAATAGCCTGCTGCTCTTAGGCTGAGTTCCAGGTGAGGGGAGATGGGTGGTGAGTAGTGGTGGGGCCCAGTTGGATGAAGTGTCCAGAGTGCATTCTTGACTGTTCTGGAGACTTGAGAGTGTGGGGCGAAGAAGGGGTACTGTCAGCCTGGTGGAGTGGGGCATGTGGCCCTGGGTCAGAGTGCAGTGAGAGGGGAGCAATGGCGGCGCATAGCTCTTATGGGAATCACTCACAGAGGGTTTGCTCTCCTCAGATGATGTTTGGTGTTGGTCTGTATGAAGGAACTGGCCTGCAGGGGGCACTCCCGGTGCATGTCTTTGAAGCCCTCCACAAACTCTTTGGAGTGAGTTTTGAATGCTTTGCCTCGCCCCTGAACTGCTATTTTAAACAGTACTGTTCGGCCTTCCTGGACACAGATGGGTATTTTGGATCCAGGGGGTGAGTCTCTTGCATTCTGTTGCCCTTGCCGTATGTATATTTATGTGCGTGCATTTTTGGCTGGGGTGGGAACTCTATCCTGGACTTAAGTACTTATTGATGACAGCGAATAATTGATGATATCAAGAAAATAGTGAACTTGGAGCCAAGGAATGTCAGCCTGCGGGTTCTCAGGTGGTGTCTCTCCTTGGTGACAGTTTGTGCCACAGGGGAAGTAAATGAGCAGGCCCTGCCCTGCTAGGAAGTCGGGCTGCAGGTGGCTGCCCTTTAGCAGATGCTGATGCCTTCTAAGATGTTTGCATTAATGGTTGGTCCTTCCTAACTGGGATCTTTTCCCTTGTTCCCTTCAGCCCATTCCTGGATTTCTTTCCCATAAGTGGCTCTTTTGAGGCAAATCCTCCGTTCTGTGAGGAACTGATGGACGCCATGGTCTCTCACTTTGAGGTACGTCCGCTCATCCCTGTCACTGTGCTTGGACTGGGACAGTCCTCTCTCTCTCTCCTCTGCCGCTATCCCGCATCCCCATGGCAGGGTTACAGATCAGCAGGTCACTGAGGACTGTGACAGCTCTTATGCTGGTCTCAGAGAAGGGTGCATTTCCTTCTCACAGAGCCTGTCGTGATTGTCATTACTTGGTCAAGAATAAGACTTCTTTTCCTTGTGGATTAGAAACTGCTGGAGAGCTCCAATGAGCCCCTCTCCTTCATTGTCTTCATCCCTGAGTGGAGAGACCCTCCGACGCCAGCCCTGACCCGCATGGAGCAGAGCAAGTTCAAGCGGCACCAACTCATCCTGTCAGCCTTCGATCATGAGTACCGCAGCGGGTCTCAGCATATCTGCAAAAAGTAGGCTTTCTCGCAAGTCTTGGTTGGGATGCTCTTGAGATGTACTGCATTTTAGAGAGGCCCTTGGCAGGAATCCCCTGCTCCAAGGTGACATTGGTCAGGGGTATGGAACAGGCTAGGAAAAAAGCCAAGTGACTTATCCAAAATGAACCTCGAGCACATCTCAGATTGGGCTCAACAGACAGTATCAAGGGTCACCATATTTGTGTATATTTCCCTACTATTAAAAATTTACATCAGCCTCTCCCTCAGGGACATGTCTCTGATCTGACCTGCGTATGTCATATTGTACTGTGGAGAAGAGTCATGTGCCACTCACCAGCATACAATCTGAGGTGCAGCTGGCTGAGCACAGTAGTTTTCTGGGCTTGTAAATGTCCTGTTGCTGCCACCATTCAGTAACAGTTAAAAAGAAGCAGAAGCTTGAGCCAGTTTTCACCATAGTCTTCTGTATGGCAGGCTACCAGCTTGCTTGGTGGGCAGCAAGTGCTTAAATATCACTTGTCCCCAATTGGTTTCTGGTTGGCCTAGGCTGTCTGACATGATTTTTCGTAGCTGGGATGGTCGGAATTCCTAGCTATGTATGTTGGAGAAGGAGCTGCGCTGCAAGATTTGTACAGTGTTCCCTCTTCTCTAACTTGTTGAGCTTCCCCAGGAGCTAACGGTGCTGTGGTGCGTGCTTAGCCAAGAGCAGCCCTTGTAGTGTCCATGGGAAGTAACACACACTGATTCTCTGAGGTTCTTTGGAAGGCTCTTGACCGCATGTGGGCACCACTGAGCTCACAGCGGGGTCCTAGCTGTATAGCTATATTGGCACGTCAGGAAAGATACCTCCCACGTGAGGGGCTGCATGATGCGTCTTTGAATTTTAACTCACCAGTATGGCTTTCTTTTAAGAGAGAATGGCTGTTCCTCGGTGCTACAGAAGGGAAGGGAGATGGGGAGGACATTAGTGTGGGAGGGTCCAGGTGCAGCTGAGCGACTGGTTGGACAGGGCCACGAAGCGAGTACTGAGTGCCTGTCATCTTCCCTTGCAGAGAGGAGATGTACTACAAAGCCGTGCACAACACTGCTGTCATCTTCCTACAAAACAACGCAGGCTTCACCAAGTGGGAGCCCACGCCAGAGCGGCTGCAGGAGCTCGTCACAGCCTATAAGCACTCGGGACGGACCCTCAGTTCCACAGGTTCCTCCTCCTCCTCCTCCTCTTCTTCCTCAACTGCAGATAAAGATCGGGAGACGGGCCGAGAGCAAAGCACCAGCCGGGAGACCAATGCCAATTAATCTGCAGAGGGCAGTGTGCGGGGACAGACGCCAGGGGCGAAGGTAACAGTGCTCCAGAGGAGGGAAGGTTTGATGTGGCAGGTGGAGAGACTGCTGGCCGAGTAGCCCAGGCCTGGGGGACTCTCTCCAGGCAGCTCCACCCTGCTTGCTTTCCTCTGTAAACCTGCAAGGCCACTTCCCTCACCAGAGTCCAGGGAGATTCCCTCGCCTTACGCTCCGTGGGAAGAAAACTGGCTGCTGCCCTAGACGAGGGGCAATGAAGCCAAAGGTCGCAGTCATAGGAAGAGTTTGCAGCCCCATCAAACACTAAAGCTCTGAGGAAGAGGCAGCTGGTGCTGAGACGGCTGCACAGGTGAAGGATGGACGGACGGACAGATGGACGGACTGACTGACAGACAGAGCTGTGGCCTAGAAGGTCTCTTGCAGCTGGCTGAAGCCTGGCATTTCCAAGAGAGAAGCAGGCAGGGTCCAGAGGCTCTTCCTGCTGGCCTGGCACCAGCCCAGCTCCGTGTCCATAGTGTACATAGTTCTGTCCGTGGCGACCATGCTCCCTGCAGGGTTTGTTTCCCTAGCATCCATGTTTCCTTTCCACATGTACGAGTTCCGTGTTTGCTGAAGCTGTTTACTGTATAAAAGAAAAGCAGAGAAAAGGAATTTCTTCTAGTGTGTAAAAACGTCTTTGCAGCTGTTTTGTAGTCGTTGTGGTTTTTACCCAGAGCCCTCTGGGCTTTATTTAACCTCCTTGGGTTTTGTTTTTTAAGGATTAATTTAACACCGCTAACCATTTTATTACTTTTATCAAAGAAAGCAAAGTAAAGTCTATTTTTGATTTTTGTTTCCTAGTTCTTAGGGACATTAAAAACCAGCATTACAGCTCCCCTTGGTGTCGGTGCTCTTCCTCATCTGTGGGGCCTGGGACTGTCCGTGGGAGGCCAGGCCTGCCCTGTCTGCCCTCAGATTGACTGCCTTCTCCTGTGCCCCTGGACTGGGTGAACTCTAGGAAAATGATCATCACTTTGAATCTGTTTGTCTGCAGTGTTTGTGGGTTGAGTTGGGCAGAGTTGAGTGCCGCATCACTAAAACACTATATCCAAAATGTCTGGGAGTTAAATAAAACCATTCCAATGATAGATAGCAGAGACTCCCATGCATAGGCAAGGGAAAAGAGACCCTTTTGCTGAGATTAAAAATGGCACGTAACTGAGAGGGAGAGATGGTAGGCACTCTAATACGTAGGTTATAGGCTCCTTAGAACTACCACAGAGAGGCGTTCACTCCAGTAATAGAAAGAATGTTTAAGAGGACATGGAGGCGGGGAGGTGTCAGCGTTCTCTTAGTGAAGTCAGGAGCAGGGCAAATTTGAACTGGCTCTTAGAATAATGGGGGAATCAGTTAATGGTGCTGAGGATTGTGGGTGACATGAGCTCACTTCTTTGTATTTGAGGAGAAGGGGGCAGAAGCACCCTGCATATGCTGGATTCTGAGGTACTGGGACTTGCAGAGGTCTTGGAAGAGGGAATTGCTATAATCCAGGCAAGAGGAGGAGAGGCCTGGATGCAGTGCAGTTGAGACCATTGTGAATGAGATCCTGTTACGCCATTGTACAAATGTAGGTGAATATGATGCCAGGACTGGAGACAGTGGCAAGCCAGAGGTATATGAGACGGTGGAGTTGGCTTGGGGAGGCACCTCCTGCCCAAGAGCAGCTCTTTGGAGTTTGGAACATTCAACTGAAATGAGATAAAGCCACAGATATGTTGGTCAGAGAGGCCTAGAGGGCAGTAAGGGAGGATTTATAGATTGGTAAGGCTAGGAAGGGCCATTGTGTTTTTATCTAATTTTGATTTTCTGTATAATCCTGCCTTTTTCTACATTAAACCCATAACTGCTGGCTCAGCTAAGGCTTATCTTTTAGATTTAAAGACTCCACATAATAGCGCATCCACCACATCCCTCGGTAAGTTCCAGTGATTAATTCTCCTCTGTATTAAAATGTGTGCCTCCTTTCCAGGCTGCTTCCAGCTATTGGATCTTGTGCTATCTTTGTCTGCTAGATTGAAGAGCCCTCTTCCCCATGTAGGTACTGACAGACTGAGCAAGTCACCTCTTAATCTTCTCTGATTAACTAAATGGATTGATCTTCTTAGGTCACATGCTGTAAGGTGTAAAGGCAGGTTTTCTGGACCTTAAATCATTCTTGTAGCTCTTTTCTGAACCATTCAAATGTTTCGGGATCCTTTTAAGTGTGGCCAGGAGAACAAGACAGGATCCAGTAATGAACTTGCTAGGAGTTGCTGGAGATCCCTAAATATGCACCTGAGTATTGTTGGGATAAGGGCGTAGCTAATGTTAAAGGCAAAGATCAGGGGACAGGGTAGGTAAGAGAGAGCAGAGAGCCGTGTGGCTCTATAGAGAGGGAGGCAGTGACAGCAGCCTGCTTCAGGCTGAAATATTTGGACAATTTCAGCCAAAATGATTCAGGCATTTCTTAGAACAAAGCAAGAGAAAAATACATTGTTTTGCCCTTGTTCATAAATTCTGACAACATTTCTTTGAAAAGCTCTAGGACCTCCATGTTTTGGAGCAGATCATAGAATATCAGGGTTGGAAGGGACCTCGGGAGGTCATCCAGTCCAACCCCCTGCTCAAAGCAGGACCAATCCCCAACTAAATCATCCCAGCCAGGGCTTTGTCAGGCTTGATCTTAAAAACCTCTAAGGAAGGAGATTCCACCACCTCCCTAAGTAACCCATTCCAGTGCTTCACCACCCTCCTAGTGAAAGTGTTTTCTAATATCCAACCTAGACCTCCCACACTGCACCTTGAGATTATTACTCCTTGTTCTGTCATCTGGTACCACTGAGAACAGCCTAGCTCCATCCTCTTTGGAACCCCCTTTCAGGTAATTGAAAGCAGCTATCAAATCCCACCCCCTTCCTCCTCTTCTGCAGACTAAACAATCCCAGTTCCCTCAGCCTCTCCTCATAAGTCATGTGCTCCAGCCCCCTAATCATTTTTGTTGCCCTCCATGGGACTCTTTCCAGTTTTTCCACATCCTTCGTGTAGTGTAGGGCCAAAAACTGGACCCAATACTCCAGATGAAGCCTCACCAACGCTGAATAGAGGGGAACGATCACGTTCCTCAATCTGCTGGCAATGCCCCTACTTTATACATCCCAAAATGCCATTGGTCTTGGCAACAAGGGCACACTGACTCATATCCAGCTTCTCGTCCACTGTCACCCCTAGGTCCTTTTCTGTAGAACTGCCTATTCTTCGGTCCCTAGTCTGTAGCAGTGCATGGGATTCTTCCGTCCTAAGTGCAGGAATCTGCACTTGTCCTTGTTGAACCTCATCAGATTTCTTGAACTATGTCAGGCAGGTAACCTTAGTGTCACGGAAAGGTTGGACCTTTACACCATTATTGTGAAAATCCAAATATGGCCAAGTTATGTAAACCTTTGGGAAAATGGCAGTTGCGCATGCCTGGCAGAGCTGTCTTTGCTTTTAGCAGTTGTTTCAAGATTCTATCCTCACTGAGCAGACTTGAGGCTCTCCTAGGTCCTAGTGCCGTCTCCACAGCGCAGTCGAGCATATTCCCTCCTCTCAGCTCCTACTGGACTGCACGTGCACCAGCCCCACAAGTAACTGAGCATGATCCAGCACAGGCATTTCCTGTAATGATTACTCCCCTCTGGGCTGGGCACTGGAACTGAGAGCAGGGACCCTCTCTCCTGTGCCCTTAATAATCCCCCTGCAGGCACCCAGGCAGCAGCGAGGAGGCAGCTGTCTGATTTGAATGAAGAGAGGACAAACGCTAGACAAAACGTAGATTGGGACCAGGAGTCTGAGTGGGATCGCTTGTGCAAGGAGACTGGGACTGGGAGCCAGTGTGGTAAATGGGGGGGTTGAGGATTTGGCAAGGGGCTAGGGGGAGGAATTGCTGGCTGGATAAGCAGACTGGAACGGGGAACCAGTGGGAAGGGGGAGGAGAAGAGAGATCTGACAAGGAGCTGAGCTGAGAGAGAGAACTGGGGTTGGCTGGGCAAAGAGCCTGGGAACCAAGAGCCAGGCAGAGGCTTGGGGAGATGATTGAGATTAGATCTGGAGGAAGTCTCAGTGGCAGGGGAAGAGATGAGGTACTAGGAGGGGTATTGAGGGTGGCTAAGCTAAGGAAACAAGGAGTTGGGGGAGGGGGAGCTATAATTGGTTGGGCATTGGGACTGGGACTGGGATTGGAGAGACAAGGGCAAGGAGCTGGGGCCAAGGACCCAGGGTAGTGGAAGAGACAAGTAGGGGGAGAATGGGCTGAAGAGTCTGCACTAGAGCACACTCCTCTACAGAGTCTGGGATGGGACCCAAGATCCTAGAGTCTCCCTATTCTTTTGCTCTTTGTGAATAGCTGAAACCCACTTGCAAAGTGTGATACCCTCTGTAGTGCTGGTCCCTGTGGAAGATAACCTACTACTGCTATCAGTTACTCCGTTAGTTCAAGTGGCAGAGGTCTGTGGTGGATGTACAGGTTCTAGCCCTAGTGATGAACCATGCTGATGTCACTATGATGCCACCTGATGGAATTTTTTTTGTTTGCTCTTTTAAATACCTAGGAAATTACATTAAAAAAACATTAAGGTCCCAAAGTCAAGCACTCAAAAACAAGTAAACACCAGAATTAAGGTTACCCATGGAACCTTAACTCTCCCCTCTTGGGCATATGCATTATGATACAGTCTTCAATTACATGATCACATACAATTTTTTTCCACGGGACCGTTGCCTCGGTGCAGAATGGACCTGCTCTGGGGATAAATCACACAGGTGTAGTGAAGGAGGCTGATATTTCTGCCTCATTTGTTGAAGAAGTTGGAAGGTATATAGTGAATGAAGCAGGGAATTTCAGGAAAAGAAAGGATAGCCTCAGACTTAAGTCCGGAAAGGACAATCATGATCATCTAATCTGACCACATGCACACTGCAGGCCACAGTCTCTCTCCCACCCACTCTTGTAATAGATGCCTAACATCTTGCTGAGTTACTGAAGTCCTCAAATCATGATTTAAAGACATCCAGTTATAGAGAATCCACTATTTACACTAGTTTAAACTTGCAAGTGACCCGTGCCCCACACTTCAGAGGAAGGTGAAAAATCCCCAGGTTCTCTGCCCATCAGACCTGGAGAAAAATTCCTTCCTGACCCCAAATGCGGTGATCAATTAGACCTTGAGCATGTGGGGAAGATGCACCAGCCAGACACCTGGAAAGAATTATCTAGTAACTCTCAGCCCTCTTCAAGGAGTGCCCCATCTCTGGCTGTTAGGAGCAAATATTCCTATCAGCCACAGATGGGGCACACGCCATTGTAGGCAGTGCCATCATACCATCCTCTCCATAAACTGATCAAGCTCGGTCTTGATGCCAGTTACATTTTTGCCCCCACTGCTCCCTTTGGGAGGCTGTTCCAGACCTTCACTCCTCTGACGGTTAGAAACCTTCGTCTAATTTCAAGCCTAAACTTGAGGGCCAGTTTGTATCTGTTTATTCTTGTGCCAACAGTGCAGCTTTAGGTAACCTGGTGTCTGTGTGTCTGATGTATTTATAGGGAACAGTCACACCTCCCCTCAGCCTTTGCTTGGTTAGGCTAAATGAGCCACACTCCTGAGTCACTTCTCCTAAGGTAGGTTTTCCATTTCTTGGGTCATCCCAGCAGCTCTTCTCTGCCCCCTTTCCGGTTTGAATTCATCTTTTTTAAACGTGGGAAACTAGAGCTGCACACGGTATTCCGGATGAGGTCTCACTCGTGCCTTGTATAAGGGCAATACCTCGCCTGATTCATCCTAGGCTTGCATTAGCCTTTTTCTACAGCCACATCCCATTGTTGGCTCATAGTCATCCTGTGATCAACCAGCACAGCCAGGTCTTTCTCTGCCTGTGTCACTTCCAAGTGATATGTCCCTAGTTTCAAGCATAAATTCTTGTTGTTAGTCCCTAACTGCATGATTTTGCACTATTAAATTTCATCCCATTTCAATTACACTAGTTTTCAAGGTCTTCCAGATCCTCTTGCATGGTATGCTGCTCCTCTGTATTGTCAGTGTCTCCCAACTTTGTGTCATCCACAGATTTCATTAGCATGCTTTCACTTTTTGGGCTGAGGCCATGAATGAAAATGTTAAATAAGATTGGTTCCAAGACCAATGCCTGAGGAACTCCCTTAGTGACCTCCCTCCTGCCTGACTGTTCACCTTTCAGTGTGACCTATGGTGGTTTCCCCTTTAACTCAGGGTTAAGGCAGTTGAATGCTGCCCTGGAGAATTGGATTCTGTCCCTGGCTGTGCCACAAAGTACTTTACTGTTATATGGGGCAAGTCATTAAAACCAGACTTCTCACAGATGGTCGCTGACTGTATTCCTCATTTCTGGGGTCTCTGATGCGAGACAGTTGGGTCTGCATTGTAGGAGGGCCGTGCTCAGAGCTGAACTGAAGTCACAGTGATCTATGCTTTGAACATAAACAGTGCTAGATAGTGCTGAGCACGCTGGCTCAGATTGGGCACCCAAAATGAGGGGGAAGTTTTGACCTTAACCTCCCTCTGCCTCAGTTCCCCATCTATGAAATGAGGATAATTATGCACCCATCTCATACTCCTCTGCCTTTCTTAGGTTTTCAGTTCAGTTTCTACTCCTCTCTCCCTCCCGGCCTCAGCACTGCTGTGTCCCGGGCAGCTGCACTGGCCATGAGGGATGTTTGCACTGCCCTTGTAGCAGCTGTCTGTTGTAGGGATGACTCAGGGCTGTCAATCCAGCACCCTTCATCAGCACCGGATTTCGCTCCAGATGTATGACTACTGATCTGGGGGTGAGCTGGTGCAGCTGCCCGTCCACCTGGGGGGGCCAGGCTGCCTGACCTCCTTTGCCCAGAGCCGATGCTGGTGCATAAAGAGGGATATGAAAGGGAACGGGGTTGGTTTAGGCTCCAGCAGAAACTCTACAGCAAAAGTGCTGTGTGCCAGTGGGGAAAGGGTGACCTGGCAGAGAGCTGGGCCCCCTTCCAGCCTCCAGGTAGGAGGTGGTAAGGACAGTGACCACCAACGATCCCTCAGCCTCCATCTCTGAGCTCAGCAGGGCCCAGCTGCCTCAGGCCTGTGGAGGAGCCTAGGTGCTGCACTGGTAGAGGACAGCTGGGGCGAGCCTAGGCTTGAGGCAGGTTTGTGCTGGGCATGGGGCTCTTTAGTTCCTCGTGTGCTCCCTCGAAATCCCTGGGCTCTGGGCGCACAGGGCAGGCGTATGAGTCACCTAAGCCCTCTTCCGTTTTCTCTCCCCGAGGGGATCCCTACAGGCCCGGGGAAGAGGGAATGAGGAGCAGAGCGCTCCCAGGCGGGACTGGGCTCAGGCTTGTCTGTTGCAATGTCCTGCAGTGAAGCTTTGGACTCAGTGTGGACCCCCCTGCTCCAGCCCTGCCCCAGGGTGCACAGGAGCTACTGTAAAGCTGCCTGGGGGGGGGGGGCTCGGGCTAGGAAAGGAAGAGGGTTTATTCCGCAATTGCATAAGGTGCCCCTAGGCCGCGGGAGTGCAGCTCTGCAGAGGGTACCTGGGGCCCTGCTCTCCGCCCCCACAGAGCGGGAGGGCTGACACAGCCCTTATCTGCCCTGCCTCCATCCCCACTGCTTCACTGGCCAGCCGCTCTGGGCTGAGCCCTGCAGCCACTTCTGCTCCCGGGCGGCCCCTGAGGCGGGGAGGGGAGCGGGAGCTGAGCTCTCCGGGGAGCAGTTCGGGTTTGTACAGCGCCTGGCACAGCGGGCCCGGGTCCCACCGCAATACAAGTGATGGCTCAAACGGCATTTCCCGAGGCAGGGGGCGCTCCTGGCGGTGGAGGCAGGGCTGGAGCGGCCCCTTCCCCTGGCTGGGGCTGAGCCGGGCCGGGCTGGCCGGTCCCCCCAGCTCCTCGCTGCCACGCCGACGCCGAGGCGGATGCTCGCAGGCTCCCTGCGTCGGTGGCCGGCTGCGCGCGGGGCTGGGCAGGGCTCGGCCGGCGCCACGGGGCGCGCACCCGGCCCCGCCGCAGCCCGGGCTCCCGGCGAGCAGGTGAGCGGCCGCGTCCCGCGCGGGGCCCCAGCCGGCTGCGGGAGGAGGGGCCGGGCCGGGCTGGGAGGGGGCTGCCGGCGCGTCCTGGGCGGCTCCGGCGCCGCGTCCCGGGCGCAGGCTGGGGCATCTCCCCGGGGCCCCAGGCCCGGCCTGGAGGAGCAGCCGGGTGCCCGCGCTCCGCCGCGGCCAGTGGCCTTGCCTTTGGCCCCGGCTCCTGCTTTTCTGTGGGAGGCTCCAGCCTCGAACCTGCCCGCGCCCGGGGAGCCGCCCGCAGGGTCACAGCCTGGTCCGGCGGCGCCTGGGCCCGGCTCAGACCTCGGCCCCTGGCTGGGTGGGGCGGCTGATCGCTGCCACCCCGGCCCCACCTTCCATCACGGAGGGAAGCGGAGAGCCTGTGCCCACGCAGACTGCCAGGACTCGCGGCCGGCCGCCTCTGGGCTGGCAGCAGCCGAGCCAGCCCCCACCCTCCCAGCCAGCCCCGGGCCTGCCAGCGGGCAGGGGCAGCCAGCAAGTGCCCGCTCTGAGGGCTCCTGTGATGTGCACACCTGCCACGAGGCCGGGGCCACACTCCAGCCCAGGCGGGATAGGCGGCAGCGTGGGAGGGAAGGGACAGCCCCACCTCTCCTTAGCTCCTCTGCGCTGCAGAGCCCCCTGAATTGCTGCCCAGAACGAGGCCCCAACCCTGTTTCTAGCCTGGGCTGGCTTTGCTGGAGGCCCTGAACGAGGGAAGCCGGGGCCAGGCAGGCCCTTGGGACTCTGCTTACAAACCCTTTACTCATGGAGGTCTCCCCTGTCTCTCTCTCCAGGCTGGGCTCCCCGACCGTCCCCGCTGGGCTCGAGGACCTTCTCTCCGGGAGCTGCGAGCGGCTTCAGGAAGGGAGACGATGAGCCACAAGGATGGCGAGCTGGGGAGCTGCCAGCCGCTGGTGTTCACGGCGCAGGAGCTGGAGTGCAAGATCTGCTACCATCGCTACGACGCACGAGCCCGCAAGCCCAAGCTGCTGAGCTGCGGCCACCGGGTCTGTGCTAAGTGCCTGCGCAAGATGGTGGCCATGGGGGAGTCCTCGCCCCACCTGCTCAGCTGCCCTTTCTGCCGGCAGGAGACCCAGGTCCCCGAGGAGGACGTGCAGCTGCTCCAGGACGACAGCAAGGTGCTGGCAGTGCTGATGTACCACGAGCGGGCAAAGAAGCGAGGCACTCTGCCCTCCCCCGAGGTCATCCTGTGCCCCAGCGTCCTGGAGCCCTCCCGCAGCTCCTCTGACTGCCTGGTCATCACCATCCTGGAGGTGCCGGAGGACGCGGCGCCCCCGAAGGCTTGGGCATGCTGGACATGATACGCCTGTACCGCCCCACCAGCCTGGACTCGCTGCCCTGCCGCAGCCCCATCCAGAAATGCCGCTCTTGCACCTGGCAGGCCATACCCCACTTCATCCTCTGGATGCTCTGCCTCATCTACTTCAGCTCCCTGCCCTTTGGCATCTACCTCCTGCTCATTGAACGCCACAACCTGGGCATCGTGCTGGTCAGCCTGGTGCCCTCCACCCTCATTCTCTGTGTCTTCTACAGCTTCTGCCAGTGTCTGTGCCGTGAGATCTTTGAGTTCCCCTCCACCTGAGCCTGCTGCTCCCCTGGGTCCTGAAGGCACCAGGCACTGGCCTTGCACAGCCTGGACCTCCCCAAGGCTGTGCCCTGTGCCTGGGGCTGGCTCAGAGCATCCCCACTCAGCGCTTGCCAGCACCCAGTTACTGCAGGGGGATGGGGAGATGTCAGTGTGGGAGGGTCCAGGCGCAGCTGAGCGACTGGTTGGACAGGGCCACGAAGCGAGTACTGAGTGCCTGTCATCTTCCCTTGCAGAGAGGAGATGTACTACAAAGCCGTGCACGACACTGCTGTCATCTTCCTACAAAACAACGCAGGCTTCACCAAGTGGGAGCCCACGCCAGAGCGGCTGCAGGAGCTCGTCACAGCCTATAAGCACTCGGGACGGACCCTCAGTTCCACAGGTTCCTCCTCCTCCTCCTCCTCTTCTTCCTCAACTGCAGATAAAGATCGGGAGACGGGCCGAGAGCAAAGCACCAGCCGGGAGACCAATGCCAATTAATCTGCAGAGGGCAGTGTGCGGGGACAGACGCCAGGGGCGAAGGTAACAGTGCTCCAGAGGAGGGAAGGTTTGATGTGGCAGGTGGAGAGACTGCTGGCCGAGTAGCCCAGGCCTGGGGGACTCTCTCCAGGCAGCTCCACCCTGCTTGCTTTCCTCTGTAAACCTGCAAGGCCACTTCCCTCACCAGAGTCCAGGAGATTCCCTCGCCTTACGCTCCGTGGGAAGAAAACTGGCTGCTGCCCTAGACGAGGGGCAATGAAGCCAAAGGTCGCAGTCATAGGAAGAGTTTGCAGCCCCATCAAACACTAAAGCTCTGAGGAAGAGGCAGCTGGTGCTGAGACGGCTGCACAGGTGAAGGATGGACGGACGGACAGATGGACGGACTGACTGACAGACAGAGCTGTGGCCTAGAAGGTCTCTTGCAGCTGGCTGAAGCCTGGCATTTCCAAGAGAGAAGCAGGCAGGGTCCAGAGGCTCTTCCTGCTGGCCTGGCACCAGCCCAGCTCCGTGTCCATAGTGTACATAGTTCTGTCCGTGGCGACCATGCTCCCTGCAGGGTTTGTTTCCCTAGCATCCATGTTTCCTTTCCACATGTACGAGTTCCGTGTTTGCTGAAGCTGTTTACTGTATAAAAGAAAAGCAGAGAAAAGGAATTTCTTCTAGTGTGTAAAAACGTCTTTGCAGCTGTTTTGTAGTCGTTGTGGTTTTTACCCAGAGCCCTCTGGGCTTTATTTAACCTCCTTGGGTTTTGTTTTTTAAGGATTAATTTAACACCGCTAACCATTTTATTACTTTTATCAAAGAAAGCAAAGTAAAGTCTATTTTTGATTTTTGTTTCCTAGTTCTTAGGGACATTAAAAACCAGCATTACAGCTCCCCTTGGTGTCGGTGCTCTTCCTCATCTGTGGGGCCTGGGACTGTCCGTGGGAGGCCAGGCCTGCCCTGTCTGCCCTCAGATTCACCCTCTTCTGCTCTCTCCTGCTGTGCCCCTGAGCTCGCTGACCTGGCTGCTGGAGCATGCGGGGGATGGAGGAGGAAGCCCCCAGCCCATGTGATCTTTATTTTCAGTCTTTATGTCTTGGAGCGTCTTCCGGTGCAAACCACAGACTTGTTGCGAGCCGTGTCTGCCCTGCATGTTACTGGTGCTGTTGGCCTGTCAGACCCTGCTCCAGAGGTGTGGGTGGGTGCCTGCTCTGCTGGCTTTGGGGGACTCCCCCCGCATCTGCATGATCTCCACAGTCAGCAGAGGGGCTATAATCTAGACCCCATTGTGTCCGGTAAGGACTGTGCTGCAGTAGCAGGAGGGTTTATATCCCTGGTGAGCCACACGTGGCCATGGAGCTGTGGAGCCTGGCTCCGGAGAGCCCAGCCCTGGAGAATGGGGCCCCGGAGAGCCCGGCTCATGGCCATGTTTGCACTCGTGCCCTCTGTCACAGGGAGGGATCTGCGCAGCACAGGGATGGGTGGAGTTTGCCCACAGTAGGATGCCTGTCCTTCCCACCCTGCAGCCCAGGAGCAGCCCAGTGTGCCAGGAACCCTCAGCCATCGGGGAGGGGGAGGGAGGGGGGTTTACATTGCTGGGTCTCCATGTTCCACCCCCCAGCTCGTGCTGCTCCTGAGGCTCAGACCCCCTTTGCCACCAGCGAGAAGCCACCCAAGCCTGAAACCTGCCCCAGCCCAGCTCTCCAGGTCCCTCCAGACCATCCGCTGCGGAGCTCCCAGTGCCCCAGAACGCTCCGCTGGCTGGGGGTTGCCCATGGGGCTGTGTGGGGTGAGCAGGGTGGCTGGGCCTGCAGAGGTGGGCGCAGTGGGACAGCTCTCTTGCTGCATGTGGCCGGCAGCTGTTTCTGGGAGATGGAGCCCCTGACTTTGGGCGCCGGAGCTTAGGGGGAGACCTGACCAAAGCTTGGGCTGTGGCAGCATGGAACGGAGCAGCCCCAGCGCTGCCTCTGGCCTGTGGGTCCCCAGCCAGCTCCCGTCAGCCCAGCAAGGCCAGCGCCCTGGGGCAGCGCTCTCCGCTTCCAGAGACGCTGCAACCGCAGGCTGCCAGAGCCCTCCTGGGACCCACCGGCCACGTCCTGCGGTCCCCGCCCCGGCCGGCCTCGTGCAGTAACCCCCACGGCCACTAGGGGGAGCCATTGCCTAAGACAGCGGGGGCGGGGAGGCCGCTAGTGGCTGGCTGTTCCGCGGGCTGTTCCTTCCCCTGGGGTGTTCGATCCCCACAGCCCGGGGGGGGGGGCAGAGGAGCTGGAACTGGGGGTGCTGCACCCCCTGGCTGGACGTGGTTGCATCACATCCAGGGTTTACAATTTTGTTCAATGGTGTCAGCACCCCCCTGTACAAACTCTCCCAGCCCCTGGTGGGTGTGAGCCGGGGGGGGAGGAGGGGCTCCAGGCCCCCAGCCAAGCTGTGAGTGGAGGCCAAGCCATTGGGGGGCTGCAGCCCTCCTGACTCCATGGATGGGGGTCTGGCCCCTCCCAGTGTACACCCTCCCCCAGCTCTTGGCAGTGGGGTCCCGAGGTCGGGGTGGGTGTGTGGTGGAGCCCGCCGTCTGGTAACACACACGCCCAGGAAGAGGCTGGTGACATTGAGTTGCTCATTCATCTTTATTAGACAGAACATGGCAAAGCCCAATCACCCCGGCTATGTGGGTGCTGCCCCTGGACCCCCAGCTAGGCTCTGTGCCCCCCGGGGGAGCATTGGGGGCCACCAGGTTGGGGACAGTGTGGCTGGAGTGCAGCCTGCAGGCTCCTGGCATGAGCACGTGGGGCTGGCCCCCCTGCCTCCCTTGGCCCTGTTGCTTGCCATCCTGTGGGGCTGGTGAGAACCCTGGCAACAGCCCAATGGCAGCAACCTCGCCCCGGCTGGAGCCTGGGCCCCATTCAAACCCAATCTGCATGGCCTCCCGCACCGTCCCCTGGCCTCACCCTCTCCCCAACCTCCAGCCCCCTCCTGCCCTTCCCCCCCCTTCAGTCTCCCCCTCCCCCTAGATATTTTACTGTCTTTTGGGAGCCACTCAAGGAACCATCCCCCCAAGCCCTCTTTGCCCCACGGACTCACTCTTTACCCTAGAGCCTCCCCCAAATCTACAGGCTCCCTGGCTCTTGCACCGCTGAACACCTGGGAGGGCCTGTCTACAGCCCAGCTCCCCGTGGGCAGAGCCCCCTCCCCCCGGCCGTGAGTCCCAGGCCGGCTGCCGCCCGTGCCACGCTGTCACTGTGGGAGCGTCCGGTGGCTCTCGGGGCACCAGGGAAGGGCCAGGCTGAGCTGTGGGGGTAGGACTCCCCAGCAGGGAGGTGCCATCTCCAGCCGCAGGCAGCAGCTCTGCTCCTGCTGGGGGCATGTTGCAATCTCAGCCAGACACCAGATCTTGGGCTGCTGGGTCGGCGTCCCCTGTGTCAGCTCAGCAGCGTTGGGCTGTGCGCTTGGCCGCTGGTGCTCTGACTCCAGGCAGGGGCCTGGGCTGCCCTCCTTGGGGCTGCCCCCTGTGCCAGGGCTGCCCCCCGGCCCCTCGCCCTGTTGCTCGCCCTGAGTCTCGCCCTCGCCGGCGTCTCTGTCCGACTTGCTGCAGGGGGCCCAACTCAGCTGCTTCTCCTTCTTGAGGCGCCGGCGTGCGTTGGCGAACCAGGTGGAGACCTGGGTGAGGCTCATCTTGCTGCTGATGGCCAGCATGAGCTTCTCGCCCTTGCTGGGGTAGGGGTGCCTCAAGTGCTGGCCCAGCCAGGCCTTCAGGGCGCTGGTGCTCTCCCGGGAGGTGGCCGCCTTGGCTCGGGACAGCTCCGCGGGCAGGCCCTGGCCGAAGCGGGGGGAGCACAGCACGGGGCCGGGTAGGAGCAGGGGCTGGAGGTTGTAAGCAGCCGTCACCTGGAAGGCAGGGGAAGGGGCGGTGAAGCCCTGGTTGCAGAGGTGCGTGGGCAGGGAAGGGGCTCGCTGGTGGATTGCCCAAGCCATGCCCTCCCAGCCCTGCCCCGGGGATGCCCCAGCACATCTCCCAGTGTTCAGCCACCTGGGACTGGCACATTTGTTGGCATCTGCTCCCTCCTGTCACGGGGGCTGTTCCCCACACAGCCACCCCGAGCGGAGAGCGGGGCCTTTGCTCCGGCCAATCTAGTGCCCTTCCCCCATATCCTGCTGGGGCTCCCACACTGGGAACGCCCCCCCCCCCCCACGCCCTCTTGGCTCTGTGTGCTAGGGGCAGGCTGGGCTCTGAGGATACACCCCTGGGCTAGCCCTGTGTGCTGCTGGGGCTGCTCCAGGAGCTTGGGGGGGGGGCGGGGGGGGGGCGGGGGGGGGGGAACGACGACGATGTGGGACTGTCCCAGCCCAGCCCTGCCAGAGCAGAGCCCTGACCCACTGAGCTGAGCCTGGGGACAGACACAGTCTGTGGGGCAGGGGAAGGAGGGTGCTGGGCAGGCCCAGCTCTGCCCCACCAATGCAGAGTACTGAATGCCACAGGCAGCCCCCTAGGGTTTGCTGGAGGGGGCTCCCATCACCCACCCTTGTGGGGAGCACTGCAACCCCGCCTGACCCAATGGCCAGGGCAGGACCACAGCTCCTGGGTACTATTGTCCCGGCGGGGGGGGGGGGCTTAGAGTGCCCCTACAGCCAGCCACTCCCCCAGCCACCCCACAACAGGGAGAGCTGCTACCCCACAGGGAATGAGAGACCCCAGGAGGGGAGGCAGGCAAGTCCCAGTCTCTGGGGCAGAGTCTGTTCAGCTGGCTGCAGGGGACCAAGGCGTGAGTAGCAGAGTGGGCAGTGATGCCCAGCTTTACCCACTCACCCGCAATGCCCCTGCCCCAGTGCCAGGGCTAGACCCCCCCCCAGGACTCCTGGCTCCCTGCCCCTGAGCCACCCACTAGCCTCCTCCCCCATTTGAGCTCAGGGTGGCAGACACTTTGCCAGTGGGTGCTTGGCGCCTGCTTTCCGCGCAGCTAACTGCCTGCCCCCCTTTTCCCGCTGGGGTGGGGGGGGGCACGCGCAGGGCACCCTCTGGATGGCAGCAGACAGCCCCTGCGGCCCCCCCAACGCCCCAGGCCTGGCGCGTCACTTACTGGCTGTGCAAGGAGGCTCAGGTGCGGCGGCAGCAGGTTGGAGCCCTGTGGGGCTGGGCGGGTGCAGGGCAGCTGCAGGAGAGCGTGGGGAGGGGGAGGCAGCAGCCCTGGGGCACCCCACACCCCTCTGGGGGCCCCCGGCTTGTTGCCAGCCTGAGCCTCCCCCCACACCAGCTGTGCAACTGCCATGCTGCTAGGACCAGTGGGAGGGAGCCCAGAGCTTTATAGGGGGCGGGGGGGGGGGGGGGGCCAGCAGGGTGATTGACAGCTGCTTAGCAAGGACGAGCAGCCTGGTGCCAGCTCACATTAAAGCGCCTGCACAGATTGTCTGGGCGGTGAATCCCCCAGCCCGGCTGGGTCCCTGTGTGCCGAACATGCCACGGTCATGCCACCACCACGCTCCCGTGCCAGCCGTCCCGGGGGTGACCCGTGGAGCCAGGCCGGAGGAGGCCCGTGCGTAGGGCAACAGTGCCTGGCTGGCACAGTGAGGGGCCTGCTGCAACGACACATGGGGCACGACATCCCCAAGCCCCCCGGGCTAGCCCCCACTGGGCTGGAGGGGGGGTGGGCTCAGCCTCATGCCCACACGCGGGGGCCCATGACCGGAGGGCGGCAGCGGTGCAGCTGGCGGGGGCAGGGCGGGGGTGGCACACGCCTTAGCCCACGGCTGGGGCGAGACGGGAGGAGCCGTTGGTCTGGCACCGGTGCTGCAGTGGGGCCTGCGGTGAAGGGAACCGGGCTGCCTGAGGTCTATAGTGTGGCAGGCCCCCGCCACTGCCTGGGCACCGCGTCCAAGGAAACCCCTGGGCCCTGCCCAGCATGGGGCGTGGGCAGGGGAGAGAACCCACCTTGCTGCCTGGCCCCTCACCCCAGCTGCAGCCACAGCTCTGGGGTCCTCAGGGCGGTGCCCCGTGCTACCGGGGTGCACTGAGCCCAGCTGTGGGTGGCTGGAGTGGCCCCGGCTGAAGGGTCCATTACTGAGCCCTGGGCAGAACCACTGCGATCTGCACCCTCGCTGCCTGGGGAGGCGCAGGCGAGCCCCGGCGGGCAGGGCCGGCAGCAGGGGGGCAGATTCCAAACAGCAGCAGCTGCTCCGCGGTGCCGGGGAGACCCCAGCAGCAGGGCGAGCATGGGCGGGTGTACGTCAGCCTCTCACCCTGGTGCCACCCCGCCCTGCCCCCAGGGGCTCTGGTCCTCAGCCCCGCCGTTCACTCAGTCCCTGGCGGGAGGGTGCCCCCGACCCCGAGGACTGGACTCTGCCCCCCCGCCTGGCCGGGGCTCAGGCAGACCCAGACCCACAGCTGCACACAGTGTTTTATTTCAGTGTCAGGATCCATTAGAAAAAAGCAGAGTGCGGCAGGGGCGAGGTGCAGCTGGGCTGTAACGAGCGAGCCCCACCACCGAGGGTGATGGTCAGCGCCACGCACACGGGAATCGCCAGGGCAGGACAGCCGCGGCTGCAGGTCAGGACTGGACAGGGGGAGGAGCTGTGTTAGTATGAACTTTGGGAAACACGGCGCCTCTTGGCCCTGCTCCGGCTGGGCAGTCGCTAGCAGGGCCCATCCACTGCCCTTCCCCAGACCCTGAGCACTCGGGGCAGCCTGAGCCCCCCGGCAGCGGGTGGGACTGGGGCTGGGGCTGGCAGGGGCCAGGAGCCGGCCCCACTAGCGGGAGAACTTGCGCACGGTGCGGTACGAGTCTGGCACGGTGAGGTGCTGCGCCTGCCCCCGCTCCTCCTCCTCCATCAGGTCCTCGGCAGAGCCCCAGCACTTCCGGGCCCGGCTGCTGCCTTTGGGCAAGAGCAGGCAGGCCAGAGCCCTGTTCCTGCCGTGCACTTCTGGCAGCTCTGGGGGAGAGAGAGGGCAGGGCAGTGTCAGGGCAGGAGACGCAGCCCCCTCCCAGCAGGGCCTACAACCCCCAGCCCCCCCCGCCCCCGGCAGCCCCTCCCCCAGCCCTGGGGGCACAGCTGCAGCTCAGCGGGTGCACAGGGTGGCAGGGAGTGCCCAGCCCTTACACGGCCCCTCCCCGCAGGCAGCCAGGCCCTGGCTTGTGTGCTCTCCCTCATGCACCCGCTGCTTGTGGCCCCACACCCCACCATGGACCCGCCTTCTGGAGAGGCTGCAAGGGAGGCGCCCGACCCCTGGAGCTCGGGCAGGAGGCCCCACAGGGAGACGGGGCCCCCGAAGGGTGGACAGACAGACAGACAAGGGGCACTTCTCACGGGGCATCGTGGCAGCTCTGTCCAGGGGCTTGTCTGCTCTCAGGTAGTGCCTGGCCAGGTGCCCGCTGTAATCCCGCACGTTCTGCTTGGCACCTGCCGGGACACACAGCTCAGCTCCGGCCTGGCGATGGAGAATGCACCAGGAGGGCTCCACGCCCTGGGGCATGACCCCCACCCCCACAGGGGTCACCCAGCGGGTGGGGCCCTTGGCGTCAGCCCCACCCAACCCCCTTCCCAGTGCTTTCCTGTGCCAGTGGTGTCATCAGAAGGGCCCCAGGCCAGGGGGGGGCAGGTCCCTGGGGCGGGTGCTGCTCACCGTAGCTCCGGACGAGCAGGTCCATGACCTGGCGGTGCCCATGCAGTGCGGCAATGTGCAGGGGGGTGTAGCCCTGGGGGGGACACAGGAGGCATCAGGACGCGAGGAACCGGTGGCTTCAGACCCCCAGCCCAGCCCAGCAGGAAGGAAATGGGCCAATCTCCCACCCAGGGGACATGGACATCACCCCCTTAGAGAGGCCCCCCGACCCTACAGAAACACCCCCTTCCACAGCACAGCCCCCCAGTGATCTCTCTGCCCCCATCCTTCCCAATGAGACCCCCCCCAGCATCCAGTCCTGCTCCACCAACTATCACCCCGCCCCTGGGCACCAGAGCCACTGCCTAATCTGTCCTGAGGAGCCTGCTGCGAGGTCTGTCCGTCTGTCCTTCCCGGGCACCTGCATACTCACGCCCTGTGTGGGTGGGGGAGGGGAGAAGAGAGCACAGGCTTAGTACAGAGCTCCAGGACCCCTTCCAGGTAACCCTACACGCCCGGCACACGCAGTGCCATGCTCCCAGTGCAGATGGGCCCCAGCCGCCACCCCTCTCCCGACATGGCCCATCCCACCTGAGCTCAGGCTGCAGCCCTCTGGGGCCATCGCCAGCAATGGTGTCCTGGCAAGCCCCCGGCAGCCCCGCGTGCCCTCGGCTCCTCCCACCCGCCCAGCGGCTGGGCACACGGCAGGCAGGTACTCACGTGCTGGGTCCGAGCAAAGGGCCAGCAGCATGGGGAGGGAAGAGGAGAACCCATTAGGGCCAGGCATGTATGGATTGCCCCCCTCCCTCGCTGCTCACAGCCCCCTCCACCCCCCAGGGCTTCCCAGGCCAGGGACCCCACCCTCTGGCCCCCACTCAGGGATGCTGGGAGGCCAGGGGCTGGGGCTGGCAGAGCCCCTACTGGGACCTGCTGCCTGGGGCTGCAGCCCCTCCAGTGCCAGCCCTGCACAGGGCCCCGAGCCCGCCTGCCTCCCCTCGCCTGCCGGGACTCACCGCTCGCATGTTGACATCAGCGCCTGCAGCCACCAGCAGCGAGGCCATGTCCTCCTTGCCGTGTTTGGCCGCCCAGTGCAGCGCCGTCTGCGGGGAGAGGCAGGGCTGGGCTCAGAACCCCCAACCCAGCCTCACCCATCCCCTGACAGGGCCTGGCTCCCCCCATGCTGGGCTCAGGCAAAGCCACCTCTGCTCCACCCCAGCCCCACTCTCCCGGGAAGAGGCACCTCCAGCGGGGAACGGGGGCAGGACACAGACACCAGCACCTCTCCCCAGCGGCTCCATGACACCTCCCGTGGGGCTGACGGGGCACTGCCCCGGGCAGGAGTCACTATGTCTAACCCCTGTGCAGAGACCAGTGACAGTGGGGCAGGCCTAGGTGAGTGCAGAGAGGGAGGGGCTATTGTCAGGCCCGTCAGATGGGGAAACTGAGGCCCAGGGAAAGTCCTGACCACGAAGGCCCCACAGTGAGCCAGCATCAGAGCAAGAAACAGAACCCAGGAGTCCTGACTCCCAGCCCTGAGCTGAGTCCATCTGCCCACTCTGCCCTAGTGCCCTGCTGGGCCCCCCTGCCCTGCACCCCATCTGCCAGCGCTCAGCTCACTGGGGAGGAGCCAGGGAGCCCCGGCCTGGGAATGCAGCAGGGAGGGGGTGAGGCTGATCCTGGGGTCCCAGAAGGGTCATACTTACAAACTGCTCCCGGGCGAGGTGGATGGCAGCGCCAGCAGGGATGGGCAGCAGGGTCGGGCAGAGAAGGAGACGTGTTAGAAGCATTGCACGGGGCCCCCAGAGCCAGCGCGGCACTGGCTCAACGTGGGGGACGGCAGCCAAAACCTTCCACTTGGGGCAGGAAACTCGACCACCAAACGTCTGGATTTGGACACGCTGCCGGGGCCTGGGAGGAGCTGTTCTTCAGGGCCCCTTCTTCCCTATAGCCCGGGCTGTTGGCTGGACTACCCTGCTAGTGACCCCTGGGGCTCAGCTGAGCTCCCGTCCAGACTACCTGGGCTCCCTGCTGTGCACTGGGGCTCCCGCCAGAGACCAGGGGTCAACCAACCTGAAGCAAACCTAACACCCCCCAGAGCCTCTGCGGGAGCAGCCAGTTCCACCTGCCCCACACCTGCCCCAACTTACCCCCTGAGCCGCACCGGAACCAGAGCAGGTCAGCGACCGGGAAGAGAGAGAGAGCAGGAAATCAGAGCCTGTAGATGGAGGGGGCGGGGTACAGGCCTGGGGGAGGGCAAGAGGGCGGGGAGGAGACAGGCAGGTGCCGGGCAGTGGAGGACAGGTGAGGCCAGTGGGTTCATTAGCTGCAGGAGGGGCTGGGATTTCACAGGAGTTTGGGGTCCCAAGTGCTTGACTTTGCCCCAGGCCCCTCTGGGATTTGCAAGGCAGTGCAGAGGAATTGGACCATTGCGCGACCCACCCCCAGCTCCAGCCTGAGCCACCTGCTCAGGGCTGGAGGGAGCATGGGCCTGGCATGGCCCTGTACTCACCGAGGTGAAGTCCTGTAGCACGTCCCGCGAAACCAGAGAAAGAGAGAGAAAATGATTGAGCTCAGGTTAGGGCTGGGGCAGCCCCCCTCTCTGGGACACAGAGCAGCCCCCTCCCTGCCCAAGAGCAGCGGGTTGGGCCCAGAGCCCCTCCCACTTTCCCCAGCCAGCTGAGCACATCAGGCCGGGCATGAGGGCCACACTTGCCTTCCTGGTGGCTAGGGATGGCTCCTGTTTGAGCAGGTGACTCAGGGTGAGCAGGTGGCCACTGGCTGCCCCCTGCAGCCACTCCTTCTCCACCAGGTCCAGCTGCGGGGGAGAGACACAGTGAGCGACAGACAGCAGCACCGGGGCCCGACAGGGCCGGAGGGGGGCCTCACAATGGCTCTCGGCCCAGAGGGAGACGGGTTCTCACTCGGGCTGTCAAGCCATTTAAAAAATTAATCGTGATTAATCACACTCTTAAAGAATACTAGAATACCATTTATTTAAACATTTTTGGATGTTTTCTACATTTTCAAATATATCAATTTCAATTACAACACAGAATAGAAAGGGCACAGGGCTCACTTGATATTATTATTTTTATTTCAAATATTTGCACTGTAAAAAACAAAAGAAATAGTATTTTACAATTCACCTAACACAAGTACTGCAGTGCAATCTCTTTATCATGAAAGTTGAACTTATAAATGTAGAATTACGTACAAAAAATAACTGCATTCAAAAATAAAACAGTGTAAAACTTTAGAGCCTACAAGTCCACTCGGTCCTACTGTCACGGAGTCCCTGGGCGATGCTCTAGAACTGCTCCCCATGAAGCCAGTCAGGACTCTGGGGAAGTCTCCTTTCTGTGAGCAGCCTGTCTTCAGGACACACAGCTCACACAGCTTCCACCTTCCTGGGTCTGACCTCAGAGCATTCAGCATCCTCTGCCCCTCCGTGCGCTTCCCACAGCGAGTCCGCCCAGGCAGGCTCCTGGGGAAGCCAGAGGGTCCTGCCCCCCAACTTCGCAGTCAGACATGACTCTCAGCCAGCCAGTAAAACAGAGGTTTATTAGATGACAGGAACATGGTCTAAAACAGAGCGTGCAGGTGCAGAGAACAGGACCCCTCAGCTGGGTCCATTTTGGGGGGAGGCAGTGAGCCAGACAACCACGTCTGCCCTTCACTCCATGTCCCAGCCAGCCCCAAACTGAAACTCCCTCCAGCCCCTCCTCCTCTGGGCTTTGTCCATTTCCCGGGCCAGGAGGTCACCGGATTCCTTTGTTCTCCAACCCTTTAGCTCTCACCTTGCAGGGGGGAAGGGCCCAGGCCATCAGTTGCCAGGAAACAGGGTGTCGGCCATTCTCTGTGTCCAGACCCCTGCACACACCTGCCCTCTAGGGCTCTGCAATGATCATACACCCTTATCCCACCACCTAGATACTTAAGAACTGCCTAGGGGAAACTGAGGCACCCCCATACTATTCGGAGGAAACATTAAGACCAGTCCCACTTCGTCACACCTACTTCAGCCAATTACTCAGACAAACAAGTTTCAGAGTAGCAGCTGTGTTAGTCTGTATCTGCAAAAAGGAAAGGCACCTTAGAGACTAACCAATTTATTTGAGCATAAGCTTTCGTGAGCTACAGCTCACTTCATCGGGTGCCTTCAGTGGACAAACAAGTTTGTTTCCATTTGCAGGAGATAATGCTGCCCACTTCTTGTTTACTTCAACAGAAAGTGAGAACAGGCATTCGCATGGCACTTTTGTAGCCAGTGTTGTAAGATATTTACGTACCAGACGCGTTAAAGATTCATATGTCCCTTCATGCTTCAGCCACCATTCTAGGGGACATGCCTCCATGCTGATGACAGGTTCTGCTCGATAACAATCCAAAGCAGTCCGGACTGACGCGTGTTCATTTTCATTACCTGAGTCAGATGCCACCAGCAGAAGGTTGATTTTCTTTTTTGGTGGTGTGGGTTCGGCAGTTTCCGCATTGGAGTGTTGCTCTTTTAAGACTTCTGAAAGCATGCTCCACACCTCTTCCCTCTCAGATTTTGGAAGGCACTTCTGATTCTTAAACCTTGGGTCGAGTGCTGTAGCTATCTTTAGAAATCTCACATTGGTACCTTTTTTGCGTTTTGTCAAATCTGCTGTGAAAGTGTTCTTAAAACAACAATATGTGCTGGGTCAGCATCCGAGACTGCTATAACATGAACTATATGGCAGAATGCGGGTAAAATAGAACAGGGGACATACAGTTTTCCCCCAAGGAGTTCGGTCACTAATTTAATTAACACACTGCTTTTTTAACGAACATCATCAGCATGGAAGCATGTCCTCTGGAATGGTGGCCAAAGCACGAAGGGGCATATGAATGTTTAGCGTATCTGGCACATAAATACCCTGCAATGCCAGCTACAAAAGTGCCATGCGAATGCCTGTTCTCACTTTCTGTAATAGTGAGAATAGTGTAATAAGAAGAGGGCAGCATTATCTTCCGTACATGTAAACAAACTTGTTTTTCTGAGCAATTGGCTGAACAAGAAGTAGGACTGAGTGGACTTGTAGACTCTAAAGTTTTACACTGTTTTGTTTTTGAGTGCAGTTATGTAACTCAAAAAAATCTACATTTGTAAATTGCACTTTCACGACAAAGAGTTTGCATTACAGTACTTGTATGTGGTGAATTGAAAAATACTATTTCTTTTATCATTTTACAGTGCAAATATTTGTAACAAAAATAATATCAAGTGAGCACTGTACCCTTTGTATTCTGTGTTGTAATTGAAATCGATATATTTGTAAATGTAGAAAAACATCCAAAATATTTAATAAATTTCAATTGGTATTTTATTGTTTAACAGTGCAATAAATCGCGATTAATTTTTTTGAGTTAATCACATGAGTTAACTGCGATTAATTGATAGCCCTAGTTCCCACCTCTCAGCAGCACCGGGACCCCACAGGGCGGGGGGGCTCACAGCGGCCCTCAGCCCAGAGGGAGATGGGTTCCCACTTCTCAGCAGGGAAGCTGGGCGGACCCCAGCTCGAGAACACAGGCCGGGGATGAGGCGAGGAGGGGCTCAGCGTCGGCTGCCGGAGGGAGTCGGGGCTCTCGTCTGGGAAGGGACCCAGCCGCTCCGAGAGATCCAGAGCCTGAACACGGAGGCCCCTGCAGCGTGGCTGGGCTTGGGGCCACCAGAACCGTCTGCGCTTCCACCTCTCTCGCTCTGGGCCACCCTAAGGCCTCCCTGGGCCGTGTCCAGGGACGAGCAAACCCGCCTGTTGTGCCAGCACTGTGTGAGTCCAGTGAAAGGCTGGGCGAGGTGCGGTCACCCCGGCGGGGCGCACGAGGCTCTGCCAGGGGCTGGCTCAGTGGGACTGGCTGAGCGGAGCTGACGGTGCCAAGCAGGAGGGCTGGAGCCCTGCAGGTCCTGTCTAAGGAGCTGCACGGCCTGCCCTGTGCAGGAAGAGGGAGACCCCAGGGAGCAGGGGGGCCTGGCACACTGACGGGGCCTGTCCTAGAGACTGTTCCACGGCTGGGGGCATAGCACCGGTCCTGGGCGTCCGACACCCCGTCCTCCCTACTACTCACCGCCACAGGGCTGGAGCCCAGGCTGCTCCCTCCATCTTCGGAGGCCTCATGCTCCGACGCAGGCTGCCGGGAGAGCAGAGGGAGAGGGCGGGAGGTGCACGGGGCTGCCAGGAAGGGGCGCTCTCCCCGCACATGGGGGCAGGGGGAGTGACGCAGCTGCAGCCAGTGCCCACTGCCCCTTCTGACGGCACCAAGGGACACCACAGCTCGGGGGGAGTCCCCCAGCCCCACCTCCTCCCCCACCTTCCAGGGAACCTCCCTGTCCTGCCTGCCAGCCCTGCAGCTGGGTGCCAGGCTCTCCGCAGCCCAGGACTGACCTGGGTTCCGTGTGGCAGAGACCCAAGAGCCGCCGGGCTGCTTGGCCAGCAGAGCCAGGCCTGGGGTCGGGCCCCTGGTGACGGAGCTGGAGCCCGCAACACGTCTGTCTGCTCCGTGGAGCAGGGCCAGGAATACTGCCATGTGCAGTGGTGCCGGGTCCCGGCTGGCCCATGGGGCTGCTGGGGCCTGCAGGGCACACACAATCCCAGCCAGGGGCCCGGCCCAGCCCCTGCATTTCCCCAGTGCCCCCATTCAGCCCCTCAGCAGCACGGTGTTGGCAGCTGCCAGCGACCCCAGACTCCTGCTCGAGATCGCCGTCTGCAGCGGCCCCAAACCCCTGGGGCTCTAACCCCGCTGTACCTCCTGCTGCCCATGCCCCCGAGACCACGGTCCCCCCCAACACTCGCCATTCTCTGCCCATTCACCGGGGGTGTCTCCCACAGCACACCCCTCCCCTGGCAGTTAGAGACCTGCTACCCAGTGCGTCCCTGGGGGGCCCTGCCTGCGTGTGAGCCCCAGACCAGGCTCCTTCTGCCCCTCCCGCCGCCACTGGCTACTTTGCCGGGCACCCCTCACCTTGGAGACGCTCTCTGCATCCTCCTCTGCCGCTCTTGGGGGCTCTGGCTCAGGCTGTGGGTTGGGGGCTGTCACAGGGCTGCCCCAGGCTGCAGGGCTCTGCCCCCCAGGAGACTGCCAAGGGAGGAATTCAGGATGACCTGCCTGCAGGGAGCACAGGGGCTGGGGCCTGAGTGAAACAGAGCCCCTGGGGCTCCACGCTGGGGCCCCGGCCCAGAGCTCTCCCCCTTCCCCTCCCCCTGGGACCCCTTTCCTCTTCCCCTGGCCCAGAGCTCTCCCTCTTCCCCTCCCCCCGGCCCAGAAATCTCCCCCTTCCCCTTCCCCGAGGAAACACAGGGGCCCAGCCTGGAACAGAGGAGCCCCCGGCTCCCAGCACCCGAGCTCAGGGCCTCGTGCATCAGGATGGGCCAGGTGCTCTGCAGCCAGCCAGCAGCTGCCTGAGGGGAGAGACCCAAACCCAGCCTGGCCCCAGGGATGGTAGCACAGCAGGGGCCAAACCGCTCAGCCCCCCTTCACCATGGGGCCTCGGGGAGCCGCCCAGCACGTGTGCCCAGCCCGAGCGCCGTTCCCACCTCTGCTGCCGGCAGCGCCCTACGTGCCCTCCCCAAGCTCCGAGGCCACACAAGCCCCCGCGGGGCAGGGGATGTGGGGGCTGCTGTGGTGGGCAGGGGCCAGGGAGCCAAGGGAGGGGGAAGCCCATGGCAGTGCCCTGGGGGGGGCGAGGGTTCCCTGCGTCTCACCGAAGCACTGACGTCAGTGACCAGGATGTGGGGCATTGCAGGCCCTTCAGCTGGCCCTGCCCGCCGGCCCTCCCACAGGGCCATGCCGGCCAGTAGGCCAGGCGCCGCTTCCCGGGAGCCTCGCTTCAGCACCACGTACTCTTCGCCCTGTGGGTCAGATCAGAGCAAGTCATGGCCTGGTGCACCCAGCGCCCTCCCACCGCTGGGCCCTGGGGCCTGGTTAGCTCAGGAGGTGCCCTGCTGGACCAGGGCTAGCTAGTTCCCAAGATCCATGAAGGCCTCGTGGGGCTGAGCTGTGGGGACAAGGGCTGTTCAGACCTCCCTGGAACGGGGACTGCCGTTCATGCCACTGGGGGCCAACCACAGTCCCTTCGCCAGTGGGGCCCCCTCCAGCTGCTCCTGGCAGCAGCTGGATTCCCCTGTTCTGGCCCTTTCCCACCAGAACAAGGCACAAAATGCTGGAAAACTCCTGTCCCCCAGAACATCCCGAGAGCCAGCGTTACTGCAGCTGGAGCAGCCCCATGGAGCCCTGCCTCCCTAACATCCTGTGGCGGTGAGTCCCCCGGGACAACGTCACAATCATGCCGAGGAGAACTCCCTTCTATTGACTGACCCCTTCCTGCCCCACCTGCCAGCGCAGAGATCCCCTCCCCATCGAGCCGGGCTCTCTGGCACGCTGCTCCGGGCTGAGGAAGTGCCTGGTCACCAGCCCTCAGTACAGGCTTAGGAAACAGCCAGCCACAAACAATGGAACAAGCAGACCCGGGTCCCTCCGCGCAGGGATAAAAGCCCCGCAGCATGGCTGGGGCTGGCCCAGGCCACCTGACTCGGGCTCCGGGGCGAAAAAATCGCAGACATTTGGGCTCAGGCTGGAGCTGAGTTCTGGGAACTTCCCACCTCGCAGGGCGCCTGAGCGTCTGCACAGCGATTTTCAGTCCCGCAGCCGGAGCCCAGGCCAGCAGCGGGGTTGTAGCCCTGTGTAGATGCAGCTCGGGGGCCAGAGCTAACAGCTGGGGGCTAAGCAGCATCACACCGGCCCCCTGCGCAGCGCCCAGCAGGACCAAAGTGAACATGCAGGTAACACAGGACTGAGCCCCACGGGTGGGCAGGGTTCCCCCCAAGGCAGCCCCACAGCCCCCCGGGCAGGCAGCATCACCCCCCCAGGCAGCCCCAGAGCCCCCCAGACAGGCTGGGTCACCCCCCCGGGCAGGCAGGGTCACCCCCCCCAACAGCCCCAGAGTCCCCCGGGCAGGCAGGGTCACCCCCCCCCAACAGCCCCAGAGCCCCCAGAGGCCCCCCGGGCAGGCAGGGTCACCCCCCACAGCCCCAGAACCCCCAGACAGCAGGGTCACCCCCCTGGGCAGGCAGGGTCCCCCCCCCCAACAGCCCCAGCCCCCCCCCCCAGTTCCCCCAGGCAGGCAGGGTCACCCCCCCCAACAGCCCCAGAGCCCCCCGGGCAGGCAGGGTCACACCCCACCCGACAGCCCCAGAGTCCCCCGGGCAGGCAGGGTCACCCCCCCTCCCAACAGCCCCAGAGCCCCCTGGGCAGGCAGGGTCACCCCCCCCAACAGCCCCAGAGCCCCCCGGGCAGGCAGGGTCACCCCCCCCAACAGCCCCAGAGTCCCCCGGGCATGCAGGGTCACGCCCCCCAACAGCCCCAGAGCCCCCCGGGCAGGCAGGATCACACCCCCTGACAGCCCCAGAGCCCCCCGGGCAGGCAGGATCACTCCCCCCGACAGCCCCAGAGCCCCCGGGCAGGCAGGGTCACCCCCAAGGCAGCAAGGCTGGAGTGCCCAGCAGGCCCACGGCAGTTCGAGGTCACTAGTTGAGCATGTTGGTACCTGCTGGAAGCTGCTCCCCAGGCCAGAAGGGAGCTGCCAGGACCCCCTGGCTGCGGGGGTCTCTCTGGCGAGAGTGCTGGAGAGGAGGGCTGGCCTGGCTGGGATCACACACAGTCCTATCTCCCCAGAGCAGACATGCAGACAGGAACCCTCTCCCAGGGCTCCACCCAGACAGGCCAGCTGACAGCTGCGGGGGGCGGGGGGGGGGGAGCACTGGGTTTAAAGTGACCCCTTGCACAGGGCCCTGGGGCTGGAAGGGGTCTGGGGGCCCAGACACTCCCTGCTCAGCAGCCCCCCAGGCAGTGTCCTCCGGGAGCATCTGCCATGCCAGCCCGAGGTCAGTCTAGGGGAGAGAGCCATCACCCAGATTCTATCCCCAGCGGGGCCGGGCCAGTTTGGGTGAAGCCGCGACTCCCAGAGATGAGCCCCACCTCTTACACTGAACCGGCACCTGCCAGGTTAACATCGCAAGGGCACCAGGAGGGACACAGGAACGGCCAGACAGGCTCAGCCCTGAGGCCCATTGCTCCAGTCTCCAAACAGCCAGCCCCAGACATGTCAGAGGGAGGTACAAGGATCCCACAGTCAATCAACGGGGAGAATCGGCCCCCCACAAAGGTCTCACCCTGATCTCCAATAGTCAAAGACCAGTTCAGACCCTGGAACTCTTCCAAACACTTTGTCAGCATTAACTGTGACATTTCTGGAGATTCGGGATCTCCATCCCCCTTGAGTTCTTGGCTCAGTGACATCCTGTGGCAGTGAGTTCCACAGGCTAATTACACAATGTGTGAACAAGAATTTCCTTTATCAGTTTTGAATTTCGCACCTGTCAGTTTCACTGGCCGCTCCCTGGTGCCTGTGCTGTGGCTCAGTTTTTCCAGCCTTGCTTGTTCTCTTCACCCTTCCCTGACCCCTCAGCTGCGTGCGACGGGGCCCAGCGCTGCCCACAGGATCCGCACCATCGATTGATGCAAAGGTGCTAGAACGTTCCCCGTGTTATTCTCCACCCCGGCCCTTGTGCCGCCGAACAGCTCAGCTCTTTTGCCCACAGCAGAGGTCTCCACTGGCACCCAGCTCCCGTCCCTGGCAGTTAATCTAGACCCCCAGGAGGTGTCAAATTGTCCCCTCCAATGTGCATTACTTCATGTTTATCAACACTGAGTTCCATTTGCCACCATGTTCCTGGATTCCGAGGCCAGAAGGGACCACTGCGATCATCCAGTCTGACCGGGCCAGAGACCGGCCCCCAAACCATTCCTAGAGCAGAGCTCTTGGAGAAACATCCCGTCTGGATTTAAAGGAGTCAGTGATGGGAACCCACCCTGGGCCCCGGGAAGTCGTTCCAATGGGAAACTACCTCACTTGTGAAAAATGACGCCTTATTTCCTAATTTGTCTAACTTCAGCATGCCCCATTGGATGGTGTTAGACCTTCCTCTGTGCCACTGACCATCACCCAAGAGCGGGAAGGGAAGTGAAGTGAGACGAACTGTGTTGTCCACTCTCCTGGCTGCGTTTGCTCTCTCCAGTCCGGAATAGTTAACTTCCCGCCAGCTGCCACGTTTGCCCCCACCCTGCCCACCTCCTGCTCCGATCACTAATAACTTGATTAAACAACACAGGCTCCAGCCTGGCACCTTGGAGCCTGCTTTGACCTTGTGACACGGTGAGAACTAAGTGACCATTTCTCCCTGCTCTTTGCTGTCTCCTAGGCCGTTTGCCTCTCATCCGGGATGACAACTAGCCTCTCTAGTAGCTTCTTGTGCATGACCTTATCCACCCAGACGTTGGAATCGAAACAAATGAGGCCACCTGGTTCCCCTTCCCGACACAGGCCTGCACCTGGACCACAAGATCCGTTTCAAGTTACACCTTCACTTAAACCGCTGCTGCTGTGTGTGCAGACCAGCCCCACTCAGGACCAGGCGGGGGACACAGCACCTTTGCCAGCTCTGGGTCGAGGCCAGAAGGGCCTGCTTGGAGCCCCAGAGCGAGCCGGCTGGCCTACACACACCCAGGGGTGCCGTGGGGCCACTGCTGGCTGAAATCGCCCACAGTCCACGAGAGGCAGCCGGCATCTCTCTCAGGAGCCTGTGGTCAGAGTGAGGGCTGGAAACACTCTGGCTGGGGCTGATAAATGGTTAACGAATTAGTTGCTCAATCATTGTGCAAGGGGGAAGCTAAGCCCAACCCCCATTCCTGTTAGCACAAGGGAGAGGCAAACCCCTATATCCTGCCCTGACTGCAGCCCCCGCAGCCTGGGCCATTTCTGGCAGGATGTGCTGAGGGAGGCGGCAGAGACTTTCCGGCTTCCACTGGGGACTGACCCAGAAGAAACAGGACAAAGGAGCTCAGGCAAGGGGGGCTGGAGCTGAGCATTTGGGGAGCAGCCAGGGGCGGCTTGGTTCAGGCAGCTGTGAGCAGCTGTTTTAGGGCAGGGGCCTGGGAGTCAGGAGCCCCCAGATGGGAACCCGCCCGGCGCGTCTCCCTGCTCAGACACAGATTATCTCCCAGGTTGGATCCGTAATTAAACACCGACTAATCACACTCTCAGGATATTAAACATGTAACAAACCCGCTTAGCTCTGGCCAGGGACGGGGAACGGGAAGGTCACCCAGGCTAATGAGCAGCAAGAGCAGTGGTGTCTCCAAGCGCTGACCCCCACAGCTCTCCTAGGGTAAGTCCAGCCCGCATCACAGCCCCCCCTTTTCCCCTGCGCTGGTGGAGGGGCCCAGGGGCTCAGACCCCGCCTAGCACAGGGGTCACCTCCCCAACGCCCCAGATCCTGCGCACACAGCACGGCCAGCATAGCACCCCCTTCACCCCTCCTAGTGCCAGGCAAAGCCCCCCCCAACTACTCCATCCTGTCCCCAAGCCACAAGAGGCCTCTCACCCACCCTGTCCTATGGCCAGGGCACCATGGGCCAAACACAAAGAGAAACCTGGTTCCCCCTGTACTGCTCCCAGCACACAGCTCACACTCAGCAGTGACAAGGTCCCGGGGCCTGCACAGGCCGGCCACTCTCATGAAGGGGGCCTGTCAGCCCACGGCTCCGAGCAACAGCCCCCGATTCTACCGGCAACTCCGCTCCAGCTCGCTTGGCATGCACCCCGATCCTCCTGGAGCCCAGGCTTCGCCCAGCCACGTGGGGGACCCTGGCCCTTTTGCTCTTCCCTCAACTCCCTCCAGTTTCTCAGCATGGCTTGGGCCACAGGCTGAACACTAATGCTGGGGTGGGGGCTGTCTCCAATGGGCCCAGAACCAGTCTGAGGGGAGGTCTCCCTGGGGGCCAAGCACCGATCTCTGGGAGAATCTCTAGGGGCCAAGCACCGATCTCTGGGGGGGTCTCCCCGGGGGCCAAGCACTGATCCTGGACGGGGGCGTCTCCATGGGGGCCAAGCACTGATCTCTGGGGGGGTCTCCGTGGGGGCCAAGAACTGATCCTGGGCAGGGGGTCTCCGTGGGGGCCAAGCATGATCCTGGGCAGGGGGTCTCCGTGGGGGCCAAGCACCAAACTCTAGGGGGTCTCCCCGGGGGCCAAGCACTGATCCTGGGCGGGGGTCTCTCTAGGGGCCAAGCACCGATCTCTGGGGGGGTCTCCCGGGGGCCAAGCACTGATCCTGGGCAGGGGGTCTCCGTGGGGGCCAAGCACTGATCCTGGGCAGGGGGTCTCCGTGGGGGCCAAGCACCGATCTCTGCGGGGGGTCTCCCCGGGGGCCAAGCACTGATCCTGGGGGGGTCTCTCTAGGAGCCAAGCACCGATCTCTGCGGGGGGTCTCCCCGGGGGCCAAGCACTGATCCTGGGAGGGGGTCTCTCTAGGGGGGCCAAGCACCGATCTCTGGGGGATCTCCGCCAAGCACTGTTCTGGGGGTCTCTCTGGGGGCCAAGCACCGATCTCTGGGGGAGGTCTCCCGGGGCCAAGCACTGATCCTGGGGGGGTCTCTCTAGGGGCCAAGCACCGATCTCTGGGGGGGTCTCCCGGGGGCCAAGCACCGATCCTGGGGGGGTCTCTCTAGGGGCCAAGCACCGATCTCTGGGGGGATCTCCCGGGGGCCAAGCACTGATTCTGGGGGGGTCTCTCTAGGGGCCAAGCACCGATCTCTGGGGGAGGTCTCCCAGGGGCCAAGCACTGATCCTGGGGGGGTATCTCTAGGGGCCAAGCACCGATCTCTGGGGGGGGTCTCCCGGGGGCCAAGCACCGATCCTGGGGGGGTCTCTCTAGGGGCCAAGCACCGATCTCTGGGGGAGGTCTCCCGGGGGCCAAGCACCGATCCTGGGGGAGCTGCGAGTCTCTCCCTGGGGCGGCGGCCGAAATGCCGGTTCCGAGGTGGATGTTGGGCCCGGGTCCCTCGGCGCCGGGCACGGGGCGCTGGCTCTGGGACAGCCGAGATGCGGGGACCCCTTAGGGACCATCCTCCCCGAGCCCTCCGCCCAGCCCTGGCCCACCTGGGAGCCGGGGTCCCGGAGGGGGCCGGTGTCGCTCCCGCGGCTCGGCTCCGCGCTGGGCCGGGGCGCTGCGGCAGGCGGGGCGCGGAGCGCACGGTCCAGCCCAGGACGCTGCGCCCCGGAGCGGCCCGTCCGCGGGGGTCGAGCCCCGGGCACCTCGCAGTCTCTGCCCCGAGCCCCGCTGCCGGCCCCGGGTTCAGCCGCCGGGTCCAGCCCGGCTCTCAGAGCCCCCGGCGACCGGCCGGGCTGTTGGCGGAGCGCGGGGCAGGCGGCAGCTTAGAGCATGGGGGCGGCCTGGGGGCTGCAGCCTACGGGATGGGTGGGGCACGGCCTGTGTGTGGGGGGGGCTGATGGGAGGGGGACGGGCCTGCAGGCTAGGGGATGGGGGGCGGCCTGAAGTGGGGACTGCAGCAAGCAGACCGTGTGGGAGGGGAGCCTGCAGGCTAGGGGATGTGGGGCTGCCTGTGGGGGGGACCCCTGCAGCCTACGAGAGGGGGGCAGCCTGTGGGGGAGGGGCTGCAGGCTAGGGGATGGGTGGGGCACTGCCTGAAAGGGGGGGGGCCTGTGTGTGTGGAGGCGGTTGCAGCCTAGGGAATGGGTGGGGCACGGCCTGTGGGGGGCGGCGTGAAGTGGGGGCTGCTGCAAGCAGCCTGTTTGTGTGTGGGGGAGGTGCGCAGCCTGTGTGTGGGGTGGGAGAAGTCCACACCCTAGGGGAGGGGGGTCACCCTGTGTTTGTGTGCGTGGGGGGGGGGAAGGTCCGCAGCCTAGGGGAGGGGGCAGCCTGGGAGGTGCTATCTGCAGGAGCCAGGCACAGGGCAGGTCCATCCATGGCAGGAGGGGACAGTGCAGGCAGTACACCAGGGCCTTAGGCACCAGCCCCTCCTGCCCCCGCCAAGGCCAAGGGAAAACTCCGCCGGAGGCCGCTTGCTCCTGGAAGGTCAGGCCAGGCCCTGCTCCTGGCCGGAGCAGAGAGGGGTGTGTGTGTCCAGAAAGGGGTGTGTGCATCCAAGGGCTCTTGCAGCCTGGGGTCCATCCTGTGTGCACCAGCAGCGCCCCTGTCGAGTATCCCAGAGCGTCACAGCCTGGCCCCCGAGAATGAGCTCAGCCCCTCTAAGCCCAGCATGGCCTTAGGCCCGCTGTACAGACGGCACAGCTGAGGTGGGCACTGAGGAAATGGCTAGTCTGGGTCAGAACTCCAGGCCCCAGGGCAGAGCACTAGCTGGGGTGGCACTGGTGAGAGACGAGGAGCCGCTGGCACAGCCATGCGGTCATCCCTAGGCCAGCAGGGCTGAGGGGGACAGCTGCCACACAAATCCTCAAACCCAAATGTGTGGCCTGGCTCAGCTCTCCATGCCCCATCGCAGCACCTCACGAGGCTTGGCCAGGCTAGGGAGGAACTGGGGCTTCTGCAAGCCCACAGGCTACTCATCAGGAATCCAAGTCACCCCTGCGGCAGCCGGAGGAAAACAGGGCCCCTGCTGTCCCCCCTAACGCCCTGGCTTTGGAACCCTGGGGGCTCATGTTGAACCAGCACCTTGCTTGGGGTGGAAGATACGTACCCTCGCTTGCCCCAGCTCTTACACTGCAGCACCTTTGCAAACCCTGGGAGAAGGGGGCAGCAGTCAAGCCCCGGCCCAGCAGCAGCATCCAGGGCTGGAGACCATGGTAAGGCTCACCCTGAAGGTGGGTGGTTCTAGCCCCCCCCCCCATGGATAATCAATTTAATGCAAACCAAGAGAACTAAAACTCTGAGATTAGCTGTTATAATCACATGTAAATACTTCCCCACAATCGGCTCAGGGAGGGGCAGCACGTGTAGCTTGGGATGGAGTTACATGGGATTTAGGCTGTTTACCACTTCACTACACTAGCATCCGCGTAGAGGCGCCCAGTTCAGTGCTTAGTCAAGGTCACTGCGGGGGGCGGCAGCTGATAGCACGAGCTCTTAACCACAGTGGCAGGCTCCGGCCCCCTGCACCCCAGGCCGGTCTCCAAGCAGCTCAAGCAGTGGGGGGCTCACCTCAGGAATTCCAACACAGAGCCAAGGGGCCCTTCCGTGCCAGGCAGATTGTGTGAGGTAGTGGCTGCAGGGGGAGCACCTCACAAGCACCCCCCCTCCCGCCACATGCCCAGGGTGCAAGAAGGGAGGCTGGGCCGGACCAGGGGAGCTGCATGTCTGCGAAGGGCCCCTGCAGCCCTGAGCCCCACTCCACACGGGACAGGCAGAGTCCGACGCCTTTTTATTCATAAGCAGATTCAAAGCTTCAGGTGGTTTGCATTTATCCCCCTCCCCCCGTACAAACCAGCTCTCTCCAGCAGAGTCCGTCTCTGTTTGGAAGAAAAATAGAACATCTCAACTATTGCCTCTTCCTGTATGGTTCCCTCTCTCCAGGTCGTGCTGCTCTCCCTGTGCAGAGCCTGGGCGCTGCCTGCCTGCAGGCCAGGAAAGCCGAGGTGGGAGGCCCTCTCCGTGCCAGGCCCATGCACCCTACACGGCTGTTGCAATTGAACGGCCTTTTCACGACATGGCTGTGCTCAGCACCATCTCACGCTGGGACCTCGTAGGGCAGGCAGGCGGCAGCTCGAGGACACAATGCAGGAAAAAGGATCCGGGACTGTCAGGTGCAAAAGGCCCAGAGGCCAGGGCCACGCCACCACCCACCCAGCCCCTTAGCCACATGAATGCCAGGGGAGCAGCCCTTGCTTAGGATGCAGCACCCTGTGCAGAGGGGCGGATAGGCAAGACCCAGCCCTCCTGCTGCATACGGCAAGTCAATAGCAAACCCCAGCCAGAGGGTGCTCAGACTTGTACCCTATAGCCCCTTTCAGCCTGGCTAGTGGATGGCTGGCCCAGAGCATCTGCCTGTCCGCAGCAAGTGCCCAGCCCTTAATCCGTCAGCGTGATGACATCGTAATGGATCCCCTGCTGCAGCTGCTGGATCTGCTCAGCCGTTGCCTCTGTGGTGAACATGCCCTGGGCTTGGGCCATGGCAGCATCGGCCACTGCTGCGGAGAGAGGGAGAGCAGCATCAACCCTTCCGTTGCCCCAGTCCAGGAGGCAGGGAAGGGGGCCCTTGCTGGGGGATCCATGGCTTTGCCAGGCGCACAGGACAGGCGGGGTGGCCAAAGCCTGCATGGGGGAAGGGTGTAGAAAGCATTTTTACAATGAGCTCTAGGGGACTCCATGCTCTGTGGCTCCAGGAGACGTGCTATAATCACCACCTGCCAAGCCGGGTCCACCCGAGGCGTTTCCATCCAGCAAAGAGGGGATAGCAGCAGGACGCTGGGCTCTGCCTGGGTGTCAGCATAGCTGCATGGCTCCCGCCCAGGAGGTAGCCTGGGGCACCCACAGCACTGAGTGCAGGGAATCAGCACTTCCCACGTACAGCTCCTTAAGCAGCAGCAAGCCTGGCTTGTTCTCCTAAGTTAGGGGGCACATGCAGCAGAAGAGCACGCTTCGCCCACATTCCCTGTGCCCTGCCAGGAGGGCAGATGGGTAACCACAGCCCGCCCAATCCACAGCCGCCCTGTCAAGCCTGCTAGCAATGGTGGTGGGCGGTTTTTGAAGGCAGCATGTGACTAAGACCACTAGCTCGCGTGAAAGCAGCCAGGAGATGGAACAACTATGTTACACCACCTGGGGCTGGGATGCCCCATGAATCCGGGCACCAGGACTCGCAGACAGACAGTGGGCAGGAGGCAAAGCCTTGCCCAGGACCCAGCACGCCAGAGCCCACGGCCTGGGCTCAGCTCAGAGAGCCCTGACTCTGTACCTGTCACTGCTGAGTGTGCCGCAGCTTCCAGCTGAGCCTGGGTAACCAGCTGCTGCTCTGGGGAAACTGGCATGTACTGGATCTGCTGGGAACAGAGGGAGACGAATCAGACCGGGCAGGCGGGAAGCCTGACGCGGGGAGGGGGGGAGGGCTCACCCTGCCCTGCTTACCTCTGTCTGCAGCAGAGCGCTCGTGGGACGCGCAGGCCCTTCACAGAGCTAGCTAAAGCAGAGGCTGTTTAACTGGTGATTCACCTTCTCGCTGAGTTATTAATGCCTACACCCTGGGACCCCCTCCCCAGCCACATGATGCTCCCCCTTCCCACCAGGGCCTCTCCCACAAGTCTGGGAACTCCAGGGCCAGTCCCAGCCAGTGGCTGCTCCCATTACCTGGGGCTCCTGGAGGAACTGGCTGCCTTGTTCATACTGGATGTGGGTGATCTGGCCATCTTGTACCTGAAAGACAGGGGCTGGACTGAGAGCTGGGGAGGGGAGGGCAGCTCCTCAGACGCCCCCCCCAAGGCCGGATCACTTCATCCACATGGAGGAGACTGGCCTGGATTTCAAGGGAACATGGACCCCCTCCTGCCCCAGCCCATGGCTCCATCCTGGGCTCCACAACCTAGGAAACAATCTGGCCGCTAGCCAGGGCCAGGACAGCAGGGGCCTTACCTGGATGTGATGCCCCTCTGGGACAACAACGTACTCGTGGGGGAGCAGGTGCTGCACGCCGTCCTGGGCAATGATGTACTGGACCTACAGGGGAAACAGAGACTCAGCACCCACCTCGGCCCACAGCACTGGCGCAGGTTGTGCGGGACGCGGCCCTGCGGCACCTTTCCAGCATCTCTCCAGCCTGGCATTGAGATGCCCAAGCACTAAGGCTCCCCACTTCGCTGGGGAACTTGCCTCAGCCTGGGTCACCTCCCTGCTGAGATTCAGCTGGAGTTTGCCATTGGTTCCTTTCACTCCAGTCAAGTCCCCACAGGCCCTCCTCAGGGGCTCCTGCAGGAGACTCCCATCAGCCCCTGCAGGACTTTCGCTTGCTCTCCGCAGCACCCCACCTACAGGTGCCAGAGCCATACGGACAGCAGCTCCCCACATACCTGGTTATCGGCGGTCACCAAGTGCTGCACCGTCTGCCCGTCAGCCGTTGTGATCTCCTGGATGTACGTGGCCTCCTCCTGCAAGATAGAGAAGGGGCAGCCTGTGACTGCGGTAGCTGAACCCAGCCCCTCTGAACGGTGGACACAGGCCACTGCTTGGGGGTGGGGGTGCGGGGTTGTGTGGCTAGCACATCTGGCTGACTCACCGGGCTCGTGATGCTCTGCTCCTGTGCTACGATGATGTGCTCCTGCCCCAGAGCCTGCTGCAGCCGTTCAGGAGCCAGCACTGCCTGGCCAGACTGCAAAGCCGCTGGAAAGGGAGAGAAAACGATCCTCAGCCACCGCTATCCCCTGCCCCGCTCAATCCTCCTGTCCCACAACCCCACCATCAGCCAGCGCCACCCCCTCCCTTACTCCCAAGCCCAGGATCAACTGGAGCCAAAACACACACCAGCAGGCAAGCTGGGAACAAGCCATTAACCCCACTTGCTCAGGAGCTAGAGCGAAAGAGGTCACATGGAACCGGCCAAACTGGAAGGTAACAAGGATACTGGGGCTAAGACCTTGACACCTACAATAAAGGCAGCAGAGACCTCCATTCACATCCCAACCACAAGAGGGGCTTTGCAGTAGTAGCAGGTGCTCACCCCCCAGCACTGACCCGGAGAAAGCTGTCCTCATCACCCATTAGCACTGCACTGGGGTCAGTGTTGGCTGCAAAAGGAGAGCGTCCACCCCAGAGTCACTCACACTGCTCTGCAGCCCCCTGTCCCCTAGAACCATGCTGGGACACGGGTCAGCACTGGCTGCAAGGGGAGAGAGCCCCCACCTGCTCCCTGGAGCATCCTGCAACTTCACAAGGGATCTCCCATCCAAGACCTGATCAGGGCCAATCCTGCTTAGCTTACAAGCTGCATCAAGTGCTCATCCCAAGATGGTCTGAGAACAGGCAGTGCTCGGCACAGACCCCTGCACCATCAGGGAAGGTGGGTATCTTACTCTGCAGCGTGGTCAATGTTTCCTCGTCGCTGTTCAGTATGATGGTTTGCTGGGTGGCGGCTGCTGGCTGCCCCAGCCGCTTCCCCTCGGAGCAGTGCAGACGCTGCATGTGGAATTTGAGATGCCCGTTCCGGTTAAACCTACAAGGACAGCGAGAGTGGGGGCTGGAGCTTGCTGAGGGCAGCAGGGCCTCTCACACCGTCCTTTCCCTGGAAGGCACAGGGCAGGAGCCAGCAGAGGTGTATTCCAAGGCCTGGCTCCTCATTTCCAGCTCTACATTGCCAAGAAGATCTGGGAGCTGGAAAGGAGGAGGGGCCAGGCTGGCTGCTACTGCGCAGAGAACAGGAGGCCCATTCAGAGAGCAGAGTCCCAGTGGGAGGGGCATGTCCAGGGACAGGTGGCTCGCTATCACCATGCGCTGCTGCAGAGCCCTCCTGGAGGCACTGCAGGGCCCTGGCTGGTTTCACCCACCTCTGCCCACAGATCTGGCAGGCGAAGGGCTTCTCATTGGTGTGCGTCAGCATGTGTCTGCGCAGGTCCTTCTTGTTCTTGGAGGCAAAGCTGCAGTGGGAGCACTTGTGGGGTCGAAGGCTGGCGTGCTGTGCCATGTGACTCTGGGGGCAGGAGAGAGTGAGATCAGCCAGCTGCCGACACCAGACACCCACCCAGCCCATGGGTGCCCAGCCAACCTACCCGGACCTCCAGCCACAAAGCTGCTGTGAATGGGCAGTCGGGACACTTGAAGGTGTTGGGCCCTACGTGTGCCCTCTTGTGACTCTCCATCTCCGCTCTCCCTGTGAACATGGCTGTGCAAATCTTGCACGAGAATTTCTTGGTTGTGGAAATCTTGCACGACAGCTTCTTGGTTGTGGAAATCTTGCACGACAGCTTCTTGGCCACACCCTGCAGTGCGGGCCATTTGACCTTTGCAGACGGGATCTCCTGCCCCTCCGGTGCTGGGGAGAAGGCAGAGTTCTTTCGGAGCTGCCTGGCCAGGCACTGCAGCATGGGCCACTTGCTGCCAGAGGCCTGGGCCTCCTGGCCTTCCCCTGGTGAGAGGGCAGGGTCCCCACTGAGCTGCTGGGAGAGAAGACCCTGAGAGTTACACTGCCTTACACCCCTCCAGGACACAGGAGTCCGGGCCCCTCTTACCTCGACGTGATGGAGCTGGCTCCCTGGGAAACTGGCTGACAGGATGTAGTGACTGCTGTGCTCTGTCAGCGCTTCGGCCATCATGGCGTCACTCACCACGACTGTACGGGTGGTCTCTGCTGGGCTCTCCTCCTCACTACAGGGGCAGAGGGCAGGGTCAGAGGGGTCCCCACCTCTTCCCCAGGGCTTTCCCATTCCCCTCTAGCCAGGGCTGCCCTGACAATGGGGGCAGGGTGAGAGCAGAGGCACTCTCCTGCAGGGAAGGCAGCCACATGACTAACACTCGGGACTGGAGTAGCATCTGACGACTCTGGGACCCAGGGCAGGGGCAGCCAGTTTGGCACCTACCTGTAGAGTGTCTGCGGGGCCTGGATCTCCTCGCTGACGGGCGTGATGATGCTGTACTCCGTGGTGCTCCCGAACGGGATGGTGATCTGCTGCAGCTCGGCGCTCCCCAGAGTCGCCTCCTCATAGGCCTCCTGCACTAAGGCCTCTCCGTGCTCAGCTACATGGAGCGTCACCACCTTCTGCTGCTGCCCGGTGGGATCCAGATCTGCCCCCTCCTCCTGCTGTGATGGGACTTTGGGGGCCTGCGCTGCTCCAGAGCCATCCGACTTCACCACCGCCACCTGCACGGAAAACAGACAGGGGTGGTGGTGAGCGGGGGTCAGGCCTGGGGCTCTCCTCTCAACTGTGGTGGGCATTGTGACCTCACCTGCAGGGAGCCTGTGGCCAGCTCCCGCTGGCTGCTCATGTTCAGCAGGAGATCCAGCGCTGTCTGCGTGGCCAGCTCTGCCGATCCCTCCACATCTGGGAGAGGTAGAGAGAGCAGGTGAGATGCACTGTGCCTGCCCAGGTAGGCCCCTCTCCCTTCCCTGGGAGCTCACCTTGCTCATAAATGATGGTGGTTCCCCCCAAGGAATCCTGGGAAGAGACAGAGGGTTCTGCCGTTGGGAGGGGCTGCACTGTGTGGTAGGTCACAGGGCCAGGAGGAACCTGGATGAGAAAAACAGCTGAGAGCACGCCCGAGCCTGAGGGAAGGGGGCAGGCGGGAGGGCCAGGGGCCACGGTACTCACCGGGGGGCTGGCCGCAGGCTCTGTGGGAGTCTGCACCTGGCTGTGCTGCTGCTTCAGCTCCTCGATCTGCTGCAGGGTGAAGAAGGGGCGGCGCCGGCAGGGGGGCTCCTCGGGGTGCCGCTGGGCCCACTCCTCAAAGGAGTCAGCATGGCGGCACTGCACATGCAGGCGCAGGTTCTTCTTGTGCTTGGTGGTGAAGTGACAGTACTCGCAGGCAAATGGCTTTCCCCCTGCAGCCAGAGAGAGGGGTACAGCGGTCAGCCAGCAGGGGAGCAGGGACAGCATCTGAGGGGAGGGGCTGGCTCAAGGCCCAGGGGCAGGGGCGTGGGCGGGCTCCTCTCACCCGTGTGCTTGACGGCCATGTGCGACACCAAGAAGTCCTCACGGAAGGTGGAGTACTTGCAGAAGCTGCATTTGTACGGCTTGTCGTTCATGTGTGACAGCTGGTGGTTCAGCAGGATCTTTTTATCCTCGCAGACATAGTCACAGAACTCGCACTTAAACCTGCCAGGGAAGGAGACTGGGCCATTACTCGGGGCAGGGTGCCTGGGCACTCTTTGGGATGGGGTGACAACCCAGCAGGCTTTGGCCACCCCAAGGCTAGCCCGACACAGGCCGGGAATCCCCCTGCTCCTACCTGCGGTTAGCAATGGCCTGGATGTGTGTCAGCAGATGCATCTTAAAGGTGTAGCGCTTCTTGAAGGACTTCCCACACTGCAACCAAACAGAGCAACACTCACTGCCCATCCAGGCCCCCAGGCGCATCTTGCCCCACCCCTTCCCCCCATGCCCTCCCCACCTTGTCACACATGTGTGGCTTCTCCGTGCTGTGAGTCTTCATGTGCTGGGTCAGTCTCTTCTGCATGGGGTAGACTCGGCTACATACTGGGCAGGGGAATGAGTTCAACTTTGGGGGCTGGGGGGAGAGAGAGAGAGAGAGGGGGACGCAGAGATGAGCCCATGTGTCTAAGAGAGCCACTGACAGCCCCTCTCAGCCCCCTCGCCAGCCAGATTTGGGGCTCCAGTCAGCCAAGAACCATCCCTATCTACCAGGCGGCAGAAGCAGAAAGAAGCCTGCCAGGGGACCCCCCCAGTAAGAACTGGGGCTAAGACACAAGCCATCAGGGAGCTGGGAACTCACCGGGTCAGCTCTCTTCTTCCTGAGAGAGAAGAAAAACAAAATGGGTCAGACTCTCCCTGAGTCTGAGACCCCCCCCAAACAACCCTCCCACCCAGTGACTGCCAAAGGGGGCCCCTGGTGCTGGGAAGGGAAAGGGGAACAGAAGCAGATCCTGCCTACTGAGCTCAGCCCTGGCTGCATTTGGAATCATGGGGAAGGGGCTGCTTGGCTCAGCACATGGGGGCAGAGGGGAGCTGGGTACAGGGAAGGGGCTGCCTGGCCAGGACACAGGGATCAGTCCCGTGGCCCCCACTCTACTCACCGGTCCCGGCTATGCACAGTCGAGTGGCGGATAACATCCTTCTTGTACACACTTGTGTAATCACACTCCCCACACTTGTATGGCTTGCTGCCCACGTGGTTAAACATGTGTTCCTGTGAGAGGTAAAGAGCAGGCCGTGAAGCACAGAGCCAGCAGCGACCCCCAGGGTGGGCCGGGGCGGGGCAGGCCATGCTCACCTTGAGGGAGGACCAGCGGCGGGAGCGGTAGCTGCACTGTAGGCACTTGAAGAGCTGCGGGTCGTTGGCCTCGTGGGAGTTAACGTGGAAGCGCAGGTCATCGTGCGTGAGGAAGCGTGAGCCACAGATTCGGCACAGGTAGGGCCTCATCAGAGGCTTGGGGGACTTGTAGTAGTACCTGCAAAAGCAGGGCCGGTGCTCAGTGCCATGACGGCAGCCAGCCCAGCCCTGGGCACAGCCCGCCAGCCCGGGCACAGCCCAGCACCCCTCACCTGCGCCCGATGTACTTGCGGTATTTCTTGCCCAGGAAGCGGCGGGAGGGCCGACCTCGCCTCCTGGGCACGGTGTCAGCCTCCTCAGGGCCTGTGTTGGAGGACGGATCCTTGTTCTCCGAGTCCGACTGGCTGATGCTGGGCTCCACGAGGCGGTCACTGGCCCCGTTCTCCAGGACGGAGGAGCTGGCTGCCTCGGAGCTCTGCAGCTCGCTGCTCAGAGCGCTCTGGGACGTGACTAAGGGCTCCTCCTCACCACCTGCCCAACAGCAACCCAGCACGTCAGGGTCTGCCTCATCCCTGCTTTGGGGAGCAGGCCCGAGCTTCCACCCTCCGCCAGCCAGGACCCGCAGCTCCTCTCCAACCCCCTACCTTCAGGCTTCGGCATGTCCTCTAGGCGAGGGAACTTGCGGGGTCTCCCCGGCCGCCGGCGTGGCCTCTCCTCACTTGACGTGGGGACAATGCGGCTGTATTTGGGCTGCCGTCCACGAGGCTCATCCTCGGCTGGGTTATAGTCACTGTCCTCTGTGGGGAGAATGGCCCGAGGCATTAGACACAAACCCTGGCAGTGGCTGGCTGCACTGGCCAGAGAGAAGGGGCTGTACCTTCAGGGTCATCAATGGCTCCAGCATCCATGATATCATCCTCCTCTTCCTCCTCCGGCACATCCTCCTCCAGGGGCTTTGGGGAGGGTCCCCCCTTCCGCGGACGCCCCTTCTTCAAGGCCAGAGCAGCAGCCACTGGCAGAGAAAGCAGTAAGAGAATCACTTGGGCAGCGTGCTGCTCTCACCAGTCAAGCTGGGGTGTGTCACAGAGCAGGCACCCCACCCGGTAGACAAGTCACCTACCCCTTTGCAGACATGGAAGCACCCCACTCGCACACTTTGAGATGGCAGCACACCCTCCTGGTATAGAAATCTCCTTCCTCCCACCCCGAGAGTCATCAGCATCCCTACCTGGTTTATAAAGAACATCAGAACGGCCATACCGGGTCAGACCAATGGTCCATCTAGCCCAGTATCCTGTCTTCTGACAGCAGCCAGGGCCAGATGCTTCAGAGGGAATTAATTGAACAGGATAATTTATTGAGTGATCCACCCTGTCTTCCAGCCCCAGCTTCTGGCAGTTGGAGGTTTCAGGACACCCAGATCATGGGATTGTGTCCCTGACCATCTTGGCTAGTAGCCATTGATGGACCTATCCTCCAGGAACTTATCTAGTTCTTTTTTGAACCCAGTTCACAATATCCCCTGACAACTAGTTTCACAGGTTGACTGTGTGTTGTGTGAAGTACTTCCTTTTGTTTGTTTTAAACCTGCTGCCTATTCATTTCATTGGGCGACTCCAAAGCTTCAGACTTAAAATTTTTTATTTTCATATGGTTGTTTAAAGTAGATTTTCACTTGTAAGCTGTAGATAGTGATATTTAGTCATTCATATTTCTAGTAATTATATATTCAGAGCCAAATTCTCCCCAACAGGAGAATTCAGAATTAAGGGCTGAAAAATTTAGTCCTCAGTAAACGAATGACAGAAAACCAAATTCTGCCCTCAGTTACACTGGTGTAAGTCTGGATTCTTTCCAGCTACAACAGAGCCATTATAAGACACCTCCCGGGGACAGCGGTGCCCACACCTGATACATTAACTACCTTGTGCCCCACCTGATAAACTCCGCTCCGACCCCGCACAGCACCCCCTCCTGGTACGCAAGCCGCCCAGAGTCGGCGGCACTCCTACCTGGCTGGAAATGGCGCTCCTTCATGTGGTTGATGAGCGTTTTCTTGCAGATGCTCTTGTACTGACACATCTTGCACCTGAACTGTTGTACCACCACCACCTCCATCATCTCCTCCAAGCTCTCCAGGTCCGGCTGGTCTGGCTCCTCCCCAGCATCTGCCTCTCTGGCCTGATCCAGCTGTGTGGGCAGCTCCAAAATTTCAGACTGCTCGGAAGGGCCAGGCTGGTCTAGGCACGTGGAGGTGGGTCCATCGGCTATGGCTTCTATTGCCAAACTGTTGGCCAGAGCAGAGGTGGCCATCTGGGACACCATGGGGGCACCTAAAGCACCAACAAGAGCTCACCAAGGAACTTGAACCCTCACAGCTACACACACTTCACACTACTAGGCAGTGGCTCAAGTAGCCAAGAGCTTCCCCATAGCCAATGCCCCTGCCCTGCTGCCTGCAGTGTCCCCTGCTGGGAGGGGACTGGAGTAACTAGGAGCTCTGCCCCACAGCATTCCCACCCTGCTGCCTACAGTGACCCCTGCTGGGAGAAACTGGGACTAGAGTAGCCAAGAACTCTCCCCACAACCAGGGCTTCTGTACAATTCCCTCACAGGGATTTCTGGCCTTTGTTCTTGTTGTAGAAGGATGGAAATGGGAAAAGGGCTCAGAAGCAGAAGATGTCCGTGGAGGACCCAGAAGCATTCACTTACCATCATCAGGTCCCTGCAGAATGAGATACTGGGTAGTCTGGGCACCGCTATCCTCAGCGCTCGTCACTGCGATGCAGCCTAGGAAGGGAACAGAGAGCGGGAGGGTGATGGGGACCGACTGTAGAGGCTGATTATTAATAAGAGAAGGCATTCTTCTAGGAAGTCAGGGTGGGCAAGCAGGAAGGAGAGAGAGAGAGAGGAAAGTTAACTTGGGGTTGCACAGGCGCTCTTCCATGGACTCAGTGCTGCGAACTCAGGACGGACGGAAGATGGAAACCCATTCCAGCAGCGATGGCGAGCTGCCCTGCAAGTCCCTTCTTTCACCACCTAGTGGTAAGGCCAGGAACAGCAGGCACCACTTCTAATGGTCAGGGCAAGCAAGCAGGAGCAGTCTCCCACAACATGGGATTTCCATTTTGACCGAGTCGGTTTCCTTGAGTCTTCGCTAGAGCAGCAGCTCCTTCCCCACTCAACTGTCGTGTCTCCACTGCCTGTCCCCCTTGCCCAGCCCTGGGCACATTACACTGAGAGCTATGCCAGATCCCTGGGGCACCAGGAAAGGGAGCAGGCAATGACTGATGTGGTGATGCACTCACTCTGGATGATGTCAGGCCCAATTGTGGACTCAATGATTTTGTCTATGGCACAGCCCAGGTCTGAGGAGGTGGATGCAGTGGAGTCCGATACCATTGTGGCCCCATCGGTGATGACGCTGGAGTGAACCAGGACCTGTGGGGATTCCGATACCATAATGGACTGGCTCACTGTGGAGACGCTGGAGACCAGGGTAGACTGGGCGATAGATGAAGAGTCGGGAAGGTAGACCCTAGGAATAGCATCTGTGCTGGAGCTGCTCTCCGACACTTCCTCCTGGAAAACAGACAGTCTGGGGAGTTCAGTTTAGAGGCCTCTGTTGAGCCATCCCAGGAGCGAACCTGTAACTGCATACCACATCAGCATCGTGCCTCGCAGGAGGCACCTGCCCAGAAGAAAGTTCCCAAAGGCCCCCACAAGAGGGTGACAAGTGATAGCTTTTCTGGCTTCTACTGATGACCCTTCAGCCCAGGGGAATAGCTAGGAGATACCCTTAAAGACACAAGATGCACTCTCCCCTCTGCTAATCCAGCTAGGTAGGCAGGGCTCTTCCCCTTGGCTTGGCAGATACAAACCTGGTGTGTATATCCATACTGTAGAAGACCCCTCAAACAGAGCTGGCCCTGTGGTCCACTTTGCCCTGTGCTGTGTAGGGTTGGCTCCCACCTAGGCTGGGTCAGAGATCCTACTCCCTGAAGGATACTATCAGTATTCTCAGAGTCTGACAACTTACACCCATCTACAAAATCACAGACACCTCCTCACTCCCGTCCCAAAGGGGTTTCCAGACCCACCCCCTACCAGAGACACCCCGCTGCTGTCTGAGCTCTGCCCCACGCCAGAGTCATCTGCTTCTGAGAGGACGGGCACTGGAGCAGCATCGCTGCTGTCTGCAGACATGGCCTCAGAGGTCTCCACTCCAAGCCCGCTCTCCGAAGGTTCTTCCTGTGCCGGATGAGGGGCCGCATCGCTGCTGCTCTCCACTTCGTTCTCCTCCGCCTCCATGCCCAATTTGCCTGGGCCCCTTATGTGTGACCTAGGCAAGAGGAAGTGCTGCAGTCAGACCTGCTGTACGCTTGGGGCACATAACACCCTGCCATGCCTTCCAGCCGCCTGAGAAGAATGACAGGCGCCTAGATATCACAGTAATTGGCACAAAATAAATATAAACATAACACAGCAGGGGTGCTCTCACGAAGGAAAGGAAACATCAGACCACGACTGGTCTTTAGGGACAGGTCTACACTATAAATTGAGTGTCTGATGAAGACGCTTTATGCTGACAGGAGAGAGCGCTCCTGTCAGCTTAGTAAGTTCACCCCTGTGAGAGGCAGTAGCTATGTTGGTGGGAGACGCTCTCCTGCCAGCATAGCGCTGTCCACATGGGGGTTAGGTATAACTACATTACTGAGGGGTGTGGATTTTTCATAGTTATTCCAAAGTATGTAATGTAGACCAAGCCAATGACTCTACTTCATGCCACCCTGCCTTCCTCGTCTTGTCCCATAGCTAGGCTGTGAAGCTCAATATTTCAGCTCATGCTCTTTGTTGCGTGCTGTACTCCCATGGTGCCCAACCTTATTACACAGGAGGGCCACATAAAACTAAGCACAACCTTGAGTGGGCCAAACAAATTCCGTATATTTTAATAAGATTTAAAGTCACCTGTATTGATTTATATTTGAAGTTCAGCTTGTTTTGTATGTATTTAGATAGGTTGTTTCTATGTACAATATTGTCTATTTACACACACGTGTAAACTAAAATGATGTAAACATGACGACAAAATGCTAATGAAGCCTTATGAGATGCTCTGATAGGACATAGGTTGTGCACCCTCACCGTACTCCTCTGGAACTTGTTCCAGGCATGAAACATACCGGGGCAGCGATATCCCAGGACTGATTACAGCCTGACACGCCTCCTACTCTTGTTCTTGAAGGCAACCAGGAAATGCCAGACTTTCATCCTAGCCAAGGGGAGACAAAGCAAAACCGAACTTCAGATGAGCGCTGGGTGGGAACCTAGCCTGCACTCACTTTACCCGATATTAGCAGGAAGAAGGGCTCAGCTGGAGAATGCAGGGCTGTCAAATACAGAGACTGCATCCCCCCCAGAATAAGGAATGACTAATCTACTTGGGGATCCCCAATCACAGTCTCTACAGCCAGGTCACATGACACTGACCACAGAACTAAGGGGGAGGTTACCATTTCAGTAAACAAGCAATGGGAATACTTTGCCCATCTTTGGAGCCTCATCAGAGCATCACAAACACTCCTGCCCCCCTTAATAATAATTTAACCTCATAACACACCACCATCGAATAGGAAAGCATAATTATTGCTATTTTACAGAGAAATACACCAGAGTACAGAAAAGTGAAGGGACTTGGGACTCCTCATAGGTAGCAAGTTTAAAACAAACAAAGTATTTCTTCACACAACGCACAGTCGACCGGTGGAACTCTTTGCCAGAGGATGTTGTGAAGGCCAAGACTATAACAGGGTTAAAAAAAGAACGAGATAAGCTCATGGAGAATAGGTCCATCGATGGCTATTAGCCAGGATAGGCAGGGACGGTGTCCCGAGCCTCTGTTTGCCAGAAGCCAGAAATGGGCCACAGGGGTTGGATCAATCGATGGTTACCTGTTCTGTTCATTCCCTCTGGAGCACCTGGCCCTGGCCGCTGTCGGCAGACAGGACAGGGGGCTAGAGGGACCTTTGCTCTGACCCAGTCTGGCCGTTCTCATGTCAGGCAACGGAGCCAAGAATAAAAAACCCAGGAGTCCAGACTCCAGGTCTCTCTGCTTTAATCGCTCTTCTGGTACAGCGCAGAGCGAGACAAAACGTAGACCCACACCTGGTCTGAGCGGCAGGGTGCTGAATACACAAGTGACCCGAGACTGATGCGGAAACCCCACTGCTCCATAACTTTAACCGGGCTGCGGAGCAGGGTTACGCCTTGGGCCCTGCAGATGGAGTTTCCCCCCCCGCTAGTGCACGGCGCTGCAGGCGGAAACTCCGGGCGGTGTGAGGAGCCGCTTCTCGGCCCGTCCTTTGCCCCTTCCCCGCTGCCCGGGGCGGAGGGCCGGGGCCGGCCGCCACGAGCCGCTTCCTCCCGGGCGGCTCCGCGCCCGTTACGGCCGGATCCCGCGGCCCCGCGCCGCAGGCGGGGTCGCGACGCGCCCAGGGCACGGAACGAGTCGGTGTCGGGGGCAGGCTCCGGGCTCCCGGCGTCTGCCCCGGGCCTCGCCCAAGCCGCGGGGCCGGGCGCGGGGGCAGCAGCCCGGAGCCCCGAGCACGGGCCGCCCCGGCCCCGGCCCCGGCCCCGCCGGCCTCGCCCACAACGCCCCAGGGCAGGGCCCGGCCTCCATGGCTGCCGCCCGGGACCCCGCTCCCGGGGGTGGGGGCGGGGCGGCCCGGCTCGGCGCGGCCCCTCCGCTCCGCTCCCCTCCCCGGCCCCCCTGGCGGGGCCCTGCGGGCGGCCGGGCCGGGGCTGCCCCTGGCGCTGCCTGCGCCCCCGCTCGGGCCGGCGCCATCTTGGCGCGGGGTCCCCGCGCGCGGGCGGCCCGGCGGCGCCGGCCGGGCGGGCGGGGGGAAGCCGGGCCCCGGGGCCTGAGCGCCGCCCCCTCACCGTGCCGGGGCCCGTCCCTCGGCGCGTCCCGCTGCGGCGTTCGCGGCGCCCCCGGACCCGGCATCCCTTCGGCCGCCATCCCCCGCGGAGGGATTTTTCCGTCGGGACCCCGCGCCGGACTACTTACTTCACCGCACCGGGGGCGGAGGGGCGCGATCTCCCCAGGCCGCACCCTCCGGTTGGGGCGCCCCCCGACCCCGGCACCGACCCGCCTCCGGTGCCGGAGCTCCGAGCACCGGCGCCCAGAGAAGGTCTCCCCGGGGACTATATTTCGCCGCGGAAGCATCAGCGCGTCAATGGGTGAAGTAGTACGCAGAGGACGTCACGACGTGCGGGGCTCGTGCTGGCCGGACCCTGAGCGTTGGGGTCACGCTGGGGTCAGGGGGGGTCACGTGGCCGCGGCGGCTCCGCCCGCGGACCGGGCCCGGCTCCGTTCGCCGCCCCCGGCGCCCTCGGCGCGGGCAGAGCCGCCTTCGGGCCGCGGCCGGGAGCGGGGGGTGGGGGGGCGTCGCCGCCGCCGCCAGGCCGGTCCCGGTCCCGCCCCCGCCGCCCGGCCGGTGTCTGCGCCGCCCCGGGGGCCCCGCTCAGCGCCGGGCGCTCGGTTCCCGGAGCGGCGGCTCCGCGTGTTCAGTGGGGCCGGTCAGCCGCGGTCCGGCTTCGTCCCTGTGTGTCACCGTGTGTGTGTGTGTGTGTGTCTGTCTGACCGTGTGTGTGCGTGTGTGTGTGTGTCTGACCGTGTCTGTCTGTCCGTGTGTGTCTGACCGTGTGTGTGTCCGTGTGTCCGTGTCTGTGTGTGTGTCTGACCGTGTGTGTCTGTCTGACCGTGTGTGTGTCTGTGTCTGTGTGTGTGTGTCTGACCGTGTGTGTGTGTGTGTGTCTGTGTCTGTCTGTCCGTGTCTGTCTGACCGTGTGTGTCTGTGTGTGTGTGTCTGACCGTGTGTCTGTGTCTGTGTGTGTCTGACCGTGTGTGTCTCTGTCTGTCCGTGTGTGTGTGTGTGTCTGACGTGTGTGTCTCTGTCTGCCTGTGTGTGTGTGTGTGTGAGCGTCTGACCGTGTGTGTGTGTGTCTGTGTGTGTGTGTCTGACCGTGTGTCTGTGTGTGTGTCTGTGTCTGTCTGTCCGTGTGTGTCTCTGTCTGTCCGTGTGTGTCTGACCGTGACTGTGTGTGTGAAGTGAGCTGTAGCTCACGAAATAAATTGGTTCGTCTCTAAGGTGCCACAATTACTCCTTTTGTGTGTGTGTTCGTGTGTGACTGCCAGGGTAGAGACCTGCTTGTTCTCTTCCAAAGAAGGGGCCGGCAGGTGGGTGGGAATCAGGAGTGACCAGAGTGGGGAAAACAGGAGAAATCCTCGTAGCAACTCCTGCAGTCTGAGGTGAAACGAGTTGGCTGTTCTCAGTGCATTGCTGTTGTAGGGTGATCCGTACAGCCACCGTGCTGGCTGTGCATCAGCCTGGCGTAAGCAGAGTCCAGGGCTTTTATCCTGCCAGGGAAGTGGTCAGATGGATTCTAGCGTGGGTTGGCTAGCCAGCATGAATGAGGCTGAATCCTGTTTAAACTACATTTCCAATTCTAGGGAGGGAACTAATCAGGAACTATTTTAGCTGAAGCGGTGTTTAAATTGAGTTTAAACCCAGACTGTTTACCAAGGCACCGTGTAGTAGACAGGGCTCCAACTCTGTCCCATCCCTTGGGACAGGGAATTTCTGGTGTAGTGATCTAAAGAGGATCCGCTGAAGTGAGCTGTAGCTCACGAAAGCTCATGCTCAAATAAATTGGTTAGTCTCTAAGGTGCCACAAGTACTGCTTTTTTTCTTAAAGAGGAAGTAGTTTCTTTTCACCCACAAGAGGGCAGAGCGAGGGGAGGGTTGAAGGACTAGTTGGTGATGCCTTAGGCTGGTGGTAACACATGTTCCAGATGTGTTGGAGCGGAATGGGGAAGGCAATCCAATCTGTTTAGATTCCTGGTCAGTAACTGAACATACAAAATCACCAGTGAGGCAAATATAATCACATTAAACACATAGAATTGTTTCTCCGTGCTTGTTGGACAGGACCTGTGTTCGCATTCTGCATTTGTCCTACATCCAAAATATGATGCTGATGGGTGTTATGGAAACCTCTAAGGGAGATCAGTTGGTCTGTCTTGGCCGGCATGCTGAACTCATCTCCATGGTACTGGAGTGCACACAGCTGATGGTATCATTGGCACAGGTGATTTCCTGCCTTTGTGCCTGTGTTGGAGGAGAAGCAATCTGGGATTTGGGCCTGGGCAGGTTGATGAGAGGAAAACTGGCTTTCAGACGTGTCACTATTCACTATTCCAGATGAGCATGGGGAAGTTATGGGACTGTAACCCATTTACCCTGAACTTCCCCACAGTCTTCTACAGGTGTGAGCTTCCTGAACAGGAGGTACTCATCTATACAAGGGTCTGGTCCACTGTTACTCACCAGAGAATGACACTGTTAGCTATTTCTTCTGGCTTCTTGGCTTACATTCAGCTGGTACTGAATTCTGCAGGCAGAAAGATAACCTGGACTGAGTTCTTCTGCTGGCTTCTCTTTTGACAGCACATTGATCTCCTGATCTTGTTAACTGGCGTTAAGACTTCAGAGTGTTTCTCACAGTTACTTGAGTGATTGATTGATGGGTCTCCTGTGGTCCCGTAGGCTCTAGTAAAAATTGTGTGTGTGTGTGTTGGGGGGGCTCCTTGTTCACTTCACTCCCTACTTGGGGCTTTCTGTCTTCTGTGCTCCTAATCATGGAGGGGAATGCACTCAGACTGGTCCTGGTTGCAGTGTCCCTGTGAGAGCCCAACATTGCCCTTCTCATGGGGGCAGCAATCGGTTTACCGAAGAGCATGATGGGAGTAAGCCCTGGCCTTTTGCGTTGTAGTTGCTCTGCTACCTGAAGCTCTTTGGCTGGGGCAGTAGGCCCTGGTCTACACTAGGACTTTAGGTCGAATTTAGCAGCGTTAAATCGATGTAAACCTGCACCCATCCACACAATGAAGCCCTTTATTTCGACTTAAAGGGCTCTTAAAATTGATTTCCTTACTCCACCCCTGACAAGTGGATTAGCGCTTAAATCGACGTTGCCGGCTCGAATTTGGGGTACTGTGGACACAATTTGATGGTATTGGCCTCCGGGAGCTATCCCAGAGTGCTCCATTATGACCGCTCTGGACAGCACTCTCAACTCAGATGCACTGGCCAGGTAGACAGGAAAAGAACCGGGAACTTTTGAATCTCATTTCCTGTTTGGCCAGCGTGGCAAGCTGCAGGTGACCATGCAGAGCTCATCAGCACAGGTGACCATGATGGAGTCCCAGAATCGCAAAAGAGCTCCAGCATGGACTGAACGGGAGGTACGGGATCTGATCGCTGTTTGGGGAGAGGAATCCGTGCTATCAGAACTCCGTTCCAGTTTTTGAAATGCCAAAACCTTTGTCAAAATCTCCCAGGGCATGAAGGACAGAGGCCATAACAGGGACCCGAAGCAGTGCCGCGTGAAACTGAAGGAGCTGAGGCAAGCCTACCAGAAAACCAGAGAGGCGAACAGCCGCTTTGGGTCAGAGCCCCAAACATGCCGCTTCTATGATGAGCTGCATGCCATTTTAGGGGGTTCAGCCACCACTACCCCAGCCGTGTTGTTTGACTCCTTCAATGGAGATGGAGGCAATACGGAAGCAGGTTTTGGGGACAAAGAAGATGATGATGAGGAGGAGGTTGTAGATAGCTCACAGCAAGCAAGCGGAGAAACCGGTTTTCCCGACAGCCAGGAACTGTTTCTCACCCTAGACCTGGAGCCAGTACCCCCGAACCCACCCAAGGCTGCCTCCTGGACCCAGCAGGCGGAGAAGGGACCTCTGGTGAGTGTACCTTTTAAAATACTATACATGGTTTAAAAGCAAGCATGTGAAAGGATTACTTTGCCCTGGCATTTGCGGTTCTCCTAGATGTAGTCCTAAAGCCTTTGCAAAAGGTTTCTGGGGAGGGCAGCCTTATTGCGTCCTTCATGGTAGGACACTTTACCACTCCAGGCCAGTAACACGTACTCGGGAATCATTGTAGAACAAAGCATTGCAGTGTATGTTTGCTGGCATTCAAACAACATCCGTTCTTTATCTCTCTGTGTTATCCTCAGGAGAGTGAGATATAATTCATGGTCACCTGGTTGAAATAGAGTGCTTTTCTTCAGGGGACACTCAGAGGAGCCCATTCCTGCTGGGCTGTTTGCCTGTGGCTAAACAGAAATGTTCCCCGCTGTTAACCACAGGGAGGGGGGAAGGTTGAGGGGGTAGGCACGCGGTGGGAGGAGGCAAAATGCGACCTTGTAACGAAAGCACATGTGCTATGTATGTAATGTTAACAGCAAGGTTTACCCTGAAAGAGTGTAGCCACTGTTTTATAAAATGTGTCTTTTTAAATACCGCTGTCCCTTTTTTTTTCTCCACCAGCTGCATGTGTTTCAATGATCACAGGATCTTCTCCTTCCCAGAGGCTAGTGAAGCTTAAAAGAAAAAAAAACGCACTCGCGATGAAATGTTCTCCGAGCTCATGCTGTCCTCCCACACTGACAGAGCACAGACGAATGCGTGGAGGCAAATAATGTCAGAGTGCAGGAAAGCACAAAATGACCGAGAGGAGAGGTGGCGGGCTGAAGAGAGTAAGTGGCGGGCTGAAGACAGGGCTGAAGCTCAAATGTGGCGGCAGCGTGATGAGAGGAGGCAGGATTCAATGCTGAGGCTGCTGCAGGACCAAACCAGTATGCTCCAGTGTATGGTTGAGCTGCAGCAAAGGCAGCTGGAGCACAGACTGCCACTGCTGCCCCTCTGTAACCAACCGCCCTCCTCCCCAAGTTCCATAGCCTCCACACCCAGACGCCCAAGAACGCGGTGGGGGGGCCTCCGGCCAACCAGCCACTGTACCACAGAGGATTGCCCAAAAAAAAGAAGGCTGTCATTCAATAAATTTTAAAGTTGTAAACTTTTAAAGTGCTGTGCTTAAAGTGCTGTGTGGCATTTTCCTTCCCTCCTCCAACACCCCTCCTGGGCTACCTTGGTAGTCATCCCCCTATTTGTGTGATGAATGAATAAAGAATGCATGAATGTGAAGCAACAATGACTTTATTGCCTCTGCAAGCTGTGATTGAAGGGAGGAGGGGCGGGTGGTTAGCTTACAGGGAAGTAGAGTGAACCAAGGGGCGGGGGGTTTCATCAAGGAGAAACAAACAGAACTTTCACACCGTAGCCTGGCCAGTCATGAAACTGGTTTTCAAAGCTTCTCTGTTGCGTACCGCGCCCTCCTGTGCTCTTCTAACCGCCCTGGTGTCTGGCTGCGCGTAACCAGCAGCCAGGCGATTTGCCTCAACCTCCCACCCCGCCATTAACGTCTTCCCCCTTACTCTCACAGATATTGTGGAGCACACAGCAAGCAGTAATAACAGTGGGAATATTGGTTTCGCTGAGGTCTAAGCGAGTCAGTAAACTGCGCCAGCGCGCCTTTAAACGTCCAAATGCACATTCTACCACCATTCTGCACTTGCTCAGCCTGTAGTTGAACAGCTCCTGACTACTGTGCAGGCTGCCTGTGTACGGCTTCATGAGCCATGGCATTAAGGGGTAGGCTGGGTCCCCAAGGAGAACTATAGGCATTTCAACATCCCCAACAGTTATTTTCTGGTCTGGGAATAAAGTCCCTTCCTGCAGCTTTTGAAACAGACCAGAGTTCCTGAAGATGCGAGCATCATGCACCTTTCCCGGCCATCCCACGTTGATGTTGGTGAAACGTCCCTTGTGATCCACCAGAGCTTGCAGCACTATCGAAAAGTACCCCTTGCGGTTTATGTACTCGGCGGCTTGGTGCTCCGGTGCCAAGATAGGGATATGGGTTCCGTCTATAGCCCCACCACAGTTAGGGAATCCCATTGCAGCAAAGCCATCCACTATGACCTGCACATTTCCCAGGGTCACTACCCTTGATATCAGCAGATCTTTGATTGCGTGGGCTACTTGCATCACAGCAGCCCCCACAGTAGATTTGCCCACTCCAAATTGATTCCCAACTGACCGGTAGCTGTCTGGCGTTGCAAGCTTCCACAGGGCTATCGCCACTCGCTTCTCAACTGTGAGGGCTGCTCTCATCTTGGTATTCATGCGCCTCAGGGCAGGGGAAAGCAAGTCACAAAGTTCCATGAAAGTGCCCTTACACATGCGAAAGTTTCGCAGCCACTGGGAATCGTCCCAGACCTGCAACACTATGTGGTCCCACCAGTCTGTGCTTGTTTCCCGAGCCCAGAATCGGCGTTCCACAGCATGAACCTGCCCCATTAGCACCATGATGCATGCATTGGCAGGGCCCATGTTTTCAGAGAAATCTGTGTCCATGTCCTGATCACTCACGTGACCGCGCTGACGTCGCCTCCTCGCCCGGTATCGCTTTGCCAGGTTCTGGTGCTGCATATACTGCTGGATAATGCGTGTGGTGTTTAATGTGCTCCTAATTGCCAAAGTGAGCTGAGCGGCCTCCATGCTTGCCTTGGTATGGCGTCCGCACAGAAAAAAGGCGCGGAACGATTGTCTGCCGTTGTTCTGACGGAGGGAGGGGCGACTGACGACACGGCTTACAGGGTTGGCTTCAGGGAGCTAAAATCAACAAAGGGGGTGGCTTTACATCAAGGAGTATTTCAGGCAGGACTTCACGGAGGGTTCCAATAAGAAATGGTGCACCTAAGTTATCGTTCTTATTGGAACAAGGAGGTTAGCCTGGCCTCTGATTGATACATGGCTAGATTTACCTCGCTGCACCTTCTCTGTGAGTGACTGCAGTGTGACCTAGAGGAATGAGTCCCCTAGACAGGGGAGGAGGCAAATGAGTACAAAACAAATCTGGTCTATTTCTTGTTTTGACCTACTCCATCTATCTTTTACATCTTTGGCTGGCAGCAGATGGTGTAGAAGGACTGCATGCCATCCACATCTCATGGCTGCTCAGCAGAAGATGGTACAGTACAACTGCTAGCCATCCTCATCTCTTGCCTGCCTGGCAGAAGATGGTACAATACGACTACTAGCAATCCTCATCTCTTGCCTGCCTGGCAGAAGATGGTACAGTACGACTGCTAGCAGTCCGTATCGCCTGCCCGCTCACCATAAGACGGTTCAATAGGACTGACTGCAGGACTAAAGAGAATGACCTGGTCAAGTCACTCCAAATTTAATCCCTGCGCCCATGTCTGCCCAGGCGCTCCCAGCCAACGTGGCCAGGAGCACCTCGGACACGACGAGGCCAACTACCAGTCATATTGCACCATCTGCTGCCAGAAGGCAATGGGTTGCTGCTACTGTGCAGCAAAGCCGTACCACGTCTGCCAGCACCCAGGAGACATAGGGTGACGGTTACCTGAGCGGGCTCCATGCTTGCCGTGGTATGGCGTCTGCACAGGTAACTCAGGAAAAAAGGCGCGAAACGATTGTCTGCCCTTGCTTTCACGGAGGGAGGGAGGGAACGGGGGCCTGACGATATGTACCCAGAACCACCCGCAACAATGTTTTAGCCCCATCAGGCATTGGGATCTCAACCCAGAATTCCAATGGGCAGCGGAGACTGCGGGAACTGTGGGATAGCTACCCACAGTGCAACACTCCGGAAGTCGACTCTAGCCTCGGTACTGTGGAAGCGCTCCACCGAGTTAATGCACTTAGAGCATTTTCTGTGGGGACACACACACTCGAATATATAAAACCGATTTCTAAAAAACCGACTTCTATAAATTCGACCTTATTCCGTAGTGTAGACATACCCTAAAAGACTGTGAATCAGCCTGTGACTCCTGTGGATTGGAGTGGAAGCCAGCCTAGATGCCAAGTGCCCACCAGAGGGCAGAAGAGTAACTTCCACTGTACCATCAGCAAATTACATTTGCATCTCTTATCTGGTTTTTATTCAGGCTAATTAAATACATCACTGAAAGGTTTATGCCCCAATCAATCACTTTGGGATAGCTGAGCTGAAAGTCGTTTCTGGGCTGGAATGAGGCATGAGTGATTGCATCAGGCTCTGCACACTTCTCTGTGACTGTGGCAGGGAGAATCCCATTGCACTGAGAGCTCAGTCTTGCGGGAGGCCCCTGGTGAGCATGGATCTTGTCTGCCTTTCTTTTCTATAAAGCAACCCTCAGACCTGTGACATCACAATAATAATGCAGTGTGTCCTGCCTGTGGAGGCGGAAGCAGCCTCTCTGGTGTGGGATGTGAGGGGGGGGGGGGTCCCTTGACAGATGACTGCCCCTTACAATGAATGCTCTGTGCAATAGACTTACAATCTCACAGCTCCATCCTGACCATCCTCAAACCACAGTCTGTGCATAGAGCCTGGAGCACCCTTTGGCACCCTGCACACCATCCACTCGGTCTTCCTGCCACGGGGCAGGTGACAGCTTGGAGCTGGGGCCCTGGGGCTGGATTAGATTGGGTTGGAACTGGAGCACAAACTGCTTACTGGGCTGGGAACTGGGCATCAAATGATGCAAACTAACTTAGTTCCTCTTGCATGGCCCTCTGCCCAGCTGCTTTAAGGGGTCAGTTGGGGATTCCCTGGGTGGAGGGGATGTCCCAGGGCTGGAAGGGACATGGCAGGGGCAGGCTGTATTTTGGTACCCCGTCGCTGGTGGAACAGGCCAGAGGGACTTATTCCTGCCCTTGCGATGTAGCCCACCCCATAGGCTTCTCTAAGTCACCTTTTGCTCCCCATATGCTTTGGCCTCTGGTGTGACTTAGAGACCCCTCACCCTCCACCAACCCAAAGGCCAGAGCTCTGCTGGACACGGGGGCCTGGCCCCCTTCTGAAATGTATGCTTGCAGGTAAACTAATGGCATTTCCAAGCCAGGCATAGTTCAGTCTCCTGTCCCTGCCTTTCCCCAGCTCTGCTAATGCACCTCACTGCTGATCTTCAATACCCCCTGCTGTTCCAGATCTGGGCCCCCAAAATGATTTGAGAGCTGGGAAACCTGCCTGAAAGTGAGAGACTTAAAGAGCTCAATTTGCTTAGTTTATCAAGAAGATCAAGGGAGAACTTGATCATGGTTGTAAGTTGTGACAAAGTGGGACTGTTCTTAATGGTTCCTCTGAATAGTGTGGGGGTGCCTCAGTTTCCCCTATGCAGTTCTTAAGTATCTAGGTGGTGGGGTAAGGGTGTATGATCACTGCAGAGCCCTAGAGGGCAGGTGTGTGCAGGGGTCTGGACACAGAGAATGGCCGACACCCTGTTTCCTGGCAACTGATGGCCTGGGCCCTTCCCCCCTGCAAGGTGAGAGCTAAAGGGTTGGAGAACAAAGGAATCCGGTGACCTCCTGGCCCAGGAAAGGAAAAAAACCCGGGGGGGGGGGGGCTGGAGGGAGTTTCAGTTTGAGGCTGGCTGGAGACATGGAGTGAAGTACAGCCATGATTGTCTGGCTCACTGCCCCCCAAAATGGACCCAGCGGAGGGGTCCTGTTCTCTGTACCTACAAGCTCTGTGTTAGACCATGTCCCTGTCGTCTAATAAACCTCTGTGTTACTGGCTGGCTGAGAGTCACGTCTGACTGCGGAGTTGGGGAGCAGGACCCTCTGGCTTCCCCAGGAGCCCGCCTGGGCGGACTTGCTGTGGGAAGCGCATGGAGGGGCAGAGGATGCTGAATGCTCCTAGGTCAGACCCAGGAAGGGGGAAGCTGGGTGAGCTGTGTGTCCTGCAGACAGGCTGCTCCCAGAAAGGAGACTTCCCCAGAGTCCTGACTGGCTTCATGGGGAGCAGTTCCAGAGCATCGCCTGGGGACTCCGTGACATAAGTACTTCACAGAGCGAAGACTGGGTTAAAGAGCTCTTCGGTACATAGTGGGGAAAGGCAGAACAAGAACCAAGGGCTGGAAGTTAAAGCCTGGACAAATTCAAATGAGAAATAAGGTACATGTTTTACAGTGTGGTTGATTAACCATGGAACAAACTCCCAAGGGAAGTGGTGGGTTCTCCATCTCTTGATGTCTTCAGATCCAAACTGGAGCCAATGGCAGATGCTTTAGTCAAACACAAGTTACTGGTTCAGTACAGGAGTAATGAGGTTCTCTGGCCTGTGGGATACA